GATTCGGGTTCTAACCTTTAGAACGTAAGTCAGACTCCCAAACGTCAGCTAACTCTTATATTTAGCATGTTAGCGACGAACTCAGGCCATGAAGAAAATAGTAGTGTCAACTCTTTTGGTGTCAAATGAAAGATCAGGTACTTATCAATCCATTGAAAACATGATGAAGATCAAAAGTAAAACTTCAATTTGCCGATAATACGCATTTAGTTCCTTTTACTCTTTGCATTCGTTTGACTTCACTTCTTAAAAGAGAGCTTCGTCTTAACTCTTTCGAACTACAATAAACCTGTGAACTCACCGCACCAATCAGTGTTCATTGGCCAAATTTGACCGATGTTCTTTATTTGGTCATTCCTTCTGACGTCATCGTTCAGCCCGGAATTACGCATATTTAATTAGAACGCATTGGTGTACAGTTTCTTCAAGCTAACTGATTGGTGGAATGTCAGCGCGTATATCAAAAGTGATTTACCCGAACTGTCACCAGTACCCGTCTTGGGGGTGGGGCTACTAAACTGTAATATGGTCTCTACTAGGCAGAGTGTAGTTTAACTAGACTCTGCACGCAGGGTAAGTTCCTTTAATATTTTACAAAAATCTTCTCTACAGTCTTTTCTTGGCATATAAGTGTAAGTGCCCTCTTTGTGCAAAACTGAAAGATGTAGATTATGTGGAGAAGGAGTGATTCCTAGATCATTCCTTATTGAGGATTTGCAGCAAAATGCCGAACATGCAGACTTAATGACCTTAATTTTTTAAGATATACAGAGAATGATTGTATATTGCTCTAGACTAAATTATTTCAAACCTAACGTGCTGACCTTTTCTCAACCAGTCAATGAATTGGAAGGAGCACATGCTAAAAATGACATGAACTATGTGATGACATCAGAGAAAATTACCATAGAAAGTATTTTAAAGAGTAAAAATGAAAGTCGATCAATGCAAAGGGTATAACCTGAGGCAGGAATATGATTATCAATTGATGAAAATGTTGCCTAGATATATAATGTACTGATTTGTTTACATATACTGATTATTTAACCATATTTGCAAGTACTCCAGACATTACTTCAGCAGAAAAGGATGATGAAATGATGGATATCATATGACATAAGAAATGTGATTTTAAGTATTTTAAGGTGAATGTGTACCTTTGGAATTTTTATGCAACTTACCACTTAATTTAATACTGCATTTCTGGGTCCTGAATTGTGGACCACTCAGTCAAACACCCATAAGTACTTCATGCAAACAAGCAAATTAAGTTTTGCCTGAACTGGGGATCGAATGTGGGACCTATTGCCTAAGAGGTACCCGTGCTACCACTGAGCTATACGGGTGGACAGAGTATGAATTGCACATTATTCTCCCAGTAGATATGTGTGGTCTTCGGGCTGATATATTAAATTGGCCCTAATATAATCCCAATATCCTGAACCTCATGTAGGATTATTTCTATGTACTGTATAAAATGTACAGTTTGGCCATGCCCTGATAATACAGTGGCCTTGCCTATAAGTGATATCCCTAGGAATACATTATCAATTAATGAGATTACAATTCCGTTTCGCCAAAAGTTAATTTTATCATCAATCAGACACAAATGATGGATGCGAAAATACTTTTCAGAAATTGATCAGAATAAATAGCCACATTAAACTATTATAGATAAACATTTATCGCAAAAATGTTGCATGGGATGTTTAATGGCGGGGGCTTCTACATTATTGTTCAGTATCTGTCATATATTATTATAAGGAAAATTGGTTTCAGTCAATCCAGAATTTGTCGTACATGAATACAAAAAATTCAGATATATTTTAGCTGGATTGGGTTTAACTTGTTGATTTATTCATAAGCTAGTAAGATTATACTAATAATCACATAAGCAGGTGGTCAGGTGTAACATGTTCACCTGAATGATTCTGATAAGATCGTATTATTTGATTTGAAATTTATAGAGGTTATTTAATGGGAGGTTTTTGATATAGGGTATATCTGAGGAAAATACAATATATCAATTTGAGGGACCGAGAGATATACCCTGTATCAAAAATCGAGCATTAAATAACTGATTTATTCTATACTTAGTAAATTATGAATAATAGCCAAGTCCCCTAGCTCAGTTTCTACGCCCTGAATTTGTGACGTCATACATCATAGATCTGATGAGCGGGTGATATATATATCATCCGCTCACGTCACATATCAATTATATTTCCTATAACGCTACTAAGTATGGAATAACTCATATAAGGAATGAGTTGTTGTTATGTCACCGCTACAACTTTTTTGTGGTGGCTCTTTGGCAGTTGGTGTTTGATCGTTGATGCTCAGCATTTGTAACAAATGAGAGGTGGTGACATTTTCAGCAAAAATTTAATCATAAATTTCTGACGCTTCACATTGCCCATATCCTTCTGGTTATCCATCTGGGAGTGTCAACAATTTTCAGGGCTCACCAGGAAATATTTAGTGTCTTGTGCATACATCTTCAGCATAATCGTTCAATCATGATAAATCATATTTATGTTATATTTGAACCTTTTTACATGCTATTATTGCATATTCAGTCAAGGTGTGTGGGTACAATCATGATTTGCCAATAGGTTGTGGTGGGAGTTAATTAGAGTGTGGTGCTGCGCCACAGTCTAAAAGCCTGGCGACAGCCCTGATTTTACACTAAAAATGTATTACTGGATATAATTCATTAAATCCAGTAATCTCCCCAGTATTAAAGCAAGTAGGCGGAGCTACCACCAGAGATTTTGAAAATAGGCTTGCACCCAGAAAATGAGAAAAATCATGAAAAATTGGCATATTTTGACAAATTTTGGTCTGAATTGTGAAAATGAGAATTTTGCACCCACCTGAAAAAAAATCCTGTGGAGATCACTGAAATCCATGAAGATCATGGAACTCAAAAGGGATTTCACAAAATATAATCATGAAACTTCAAAAGGGATTTCACAAAATATATTTGACCTAAAACTGAACACTCATCAAATCATTGCTCCTATGCAATAACATGGATTCATTTATTGCCAGGATACAACTACCTTAATTAGGCCACATGTTGGTACAACTCATTGGTACATGTGTCCTTAGTTCACATTTCATAATGACAAGTGACAAACATTTCCATGAAATTAGATCAAAATATAACACTTCAGAACAAAACAAATCTGACTTGTGTGTACTGACCTATCAGTCAACCATACATGTGTTAGTGTATTTATACATTTCAAGTTATTTACCTGGAAGTTGAATTTGTAATTTTGTAATCATGAAGGCAGGTAAGACAGGTAGAATTTCCACTTTCCAAACTGATTGAAAGAACAGGTAGGTGCTACATAACACGGAGGTTACATTACATGTTTTTGAATAAAAAAATCAGATTTTCACCCCAAAACACAGCATTAAACTGTTTCATCAACTTTTTTTATTAATTATTTATTTACATCAACAAGTGATTTTTGCGGATATAGCAATGTTACAAAATTATAAGATATACATGTACTTGTATACCGATTTGACATCATCACACAACATTCACTCACAATCACTCACATTTACTCACAATCACACACATTGATTCACTGTTTCATAAACTTACACAAACACTAAGTTATGGTACATGTACATTCTTTCTATTTTAAAAATGAAAATAAGGAGTGAGCATCAGACATTTCAACTTTGTCTAGTAGACATCCTTAGACAAAACTGTGCGTCAAATTCCCAACCCTTCCTACATCTGGGGCCTTGATCCCTCAAACCTTTGATTGTTCATTAATACAAAGCTTAGATAAATCCCTTGTTGTTGCAAGTGGTGCATATATATTTGTAGTGGAAACAGCAGCGCTTGACATACCTGTGTTATTTTGTCACATGGGATCAATATTTCAATTGTACTGCAAAGCAAATACAAATTAATTAAGCCTCTTCTCACATACCTTTCACATAAGATTTTGATTTGATGATGTTTTAATCATATTTGGTAAGGAAAATTATATTCATTAAATATTTTATGGATTATACTTAAATTAGGAGATATAAGGTTTAATTCTGGGGGTCAATTATTCTAACCTAAGGTAGGCAAAGTGCAATGAATAAGCTGACTGATTAATTTGTGATGCATTTTACATATATAGGGGCTTATATACATATAGCCTATATAGCTTGCAGGTTATTTTCTGTCTACCTTGAGCAATAAATAACAGAATGTAAGAGTATATATTGGCATATCAAGACAAGACGCATGCAATGCAACTACCAGAATTCCAAATTGGATGATGTAACATTGTCCTTTTCTTCCTTATTGACTCAAAAACTTTATAAAAGTACACTTACCTGTGATCTCCCTAGGATTTTTTCTCAGGTTGGTGCAAAATTCTCATTTTCACAATTCAGACTAAAATTGGTCAAGAATATGCCAAGTTTTCATGACTTTTCTCATTTTCAAGTGGGTGCAAATGGATTTTCAGGTGGGTGCAAGCCTATTTTCAAAATCTCAGGTGGGTGCCGCGCCCACTTGCTTTAGTACAGGGGAGATCACTACTTACTAAATAAAAAACTACAGTAATTGCTGTACATGTATAGTAAATATTTTTGCAGCTACAACACTGTTTTACTGGAGGTGGATATTCATCAGAGAGGTATTTCCTAGAAAGGGGTGTTCACTCGAGAAATGTGTTTACTAGAGAGAGGTGTTCACTAGAGAGATGTGTTCACTAGAGAGAGTGTTCACTAGAGAGATGTGTTCACTAGAGAGAGTGTTCACTAGAGAGAGTGTTCTCTAGAGAGAGGTGTTAGCTCAAGTGAGTTGTTCTCTAGAGAGATGTGTTCACTAGAGAGATGTGTTTGCTGGAGAGATGTATTTACTAGTGGGAGGTGTTCACTAGAGAGGTGTTCACTAGAGAGAGTGTTCTCTAGAGAGAGGTGTACACTTATACAGGTTTTACTGTAACTATATACTCGTTTTATTTATTTTTCAGTGGCTAAGTGAGATGCAAGTACCTTCTTCGAAGATGTCTATAAAGGTTCACTGGGAGAATGTGCTACATGTTGTCTTGACGATCCTTGTCATTGGCAGCCTCATTATCATCTTCTCTAAGTTCTATGACAACAACAATGGTGAGTTGTAATTTTTAAATCATTTTTAAAAAAGTATGATATTGTCATCAGCTCGACGAATGAGCAGCTGTGTCTCACTTTTCTTGTCCGTTAATTTTTAAACAAACCGCATTATGGATGGATTAAATCAGTCCATTTGTGATAAACATGATACTGTTTAGATCAATAGTTATCCATAACTTTTCAAAATGCTGTTTATGTAGCAAATATTATAAAGTGCCTAGATTATAAACTGATTGACTGCTCTAAACTAGATTGGGATTCGCTTTGAGTAGGACATGGTATAATTTCTATTTATCCCCGATTGATCAATAAAAAATGTTACGTAAAAGTATTGAAATCAGGGACTCAAAAGTCATTGCTCTTGAAGGAGGTAGAATTAGTATCACTTGCAATACATTGAATTGTATTTCTAGGTTCTACGCCAGCGATTCGTACACCTGAAATCCCAAAGCGAGTACTTGTCACTGGTGCTGCTGGATTCATAGGCTTCCACATGGCCCGTGGATTGAAAAAAGAAAACCCCAATCATTTTGTTTATGGCATTGATAACTATAATGACTACTATGATGTAAAACTTAAAATGGTAAGTCTTATCTTTACGTTCTCTCATTATTTTTCTGTGCTGTCAGGAAAAGATTATTCTGACCTCATCAGGCCTGTAGCCAGCTTGTAGCCTGGGATTTTCAAGTGAACCTCTCCTGGCCAAAAATCCTTACAAAATGATGCAGTTTTTTTATCACACCATCGGTGGGATATAGTCGTCATACTGGTCGTGATCGTGGTCGTGATCGTGGTCATGATCGTGGTCGTGATCGTCCCGCTTTGTGTCATCGCCGTTTAAGGAAAACTGCTCATCAGATTTTCTCCAAATTCGCAGAGATGATAGAGCATATGAAGTACTAGAGCTGATCAACTTTTGGGTGGCCATCTTGTTTTCTGGCGGCCATTTTGAAGGTTTTTCGAAAAATCTTGTCATCGCCATTTCAGAAAAACCGCTCATTGGATTTCCTTCAAATTTACACAAATGATAGAAGATATCAAGTACTAGAGCTGATTAACTTTTGGGCGGCCATCTTGTTTTCTGGCAGCCATTTTGAAGATTTTTCGAAAAATCTTGTCATCGCCATTTCAGAAAATCCGCTTATCGGATTTCCTTCAAATTTACACAAATGATAGAGGATATCAAGTACTAGAGCTGATTAACTTTTGGGCGGCCATCTTGTTTTCTGGTGGCCATTTTGAAGGTTTTTTGAAAAATCTTGTTTCTTGTTCTTGAAATTTGTAAACATAATAGGAGAACAGTTTTCCTGGTTCATAGTGTCTGGCTATTTGATGGTGTGATCTCGTTCACGTCCTGTGCCTTGTCACCATTTTGAGCACTTTTCACAGTGATTCTGGGCCAAAATTGTCAGATTTACCCCCAAGGGCACATGTAATTAAACATATTTTGCTCAAAAATACTTGTTGAAAGATAAACTTGGGTAAAATATGGATCAAGGACCCCATTCCATTCCAAAAATCAAATCCTTATGTTGGTACATTCATTGATTTAAAAGTGTGAAAAATGCTAAAAAAATTAAAATGTTGATTTCCTTGGAGTTATTGCTCCACAAAGCTTGAAGTTAAAATGTGTCTCATATACATGTTATGATACATTAAAATAGAAGCAAGGATTTGTTTATTCATAACCCAAGGTACACTCAATAAAATCATTTGCATGTCTGTTTCTAATGAGACATTTCAGGCCTATGGCCAGCTTTTTCCAAGGGGGATTCATTTTTCAAAAAATTGCAGGGGAGATTAACGTTTCACAACTTTGGCCAAAAATCAATTGAAAAGTGCTCAGAATGGTGAAAAACTGCATGAATTTTTGGGCCAAGGGGATGGGTTCGCTCAATCCCCCAGAACATCCCCTAGCTATGGGCATGCATTTGTTATACCTCACTGAGAATCTTTACAATCATTAAATGTTTTATGATATTTTATATAAGGGGAAAACAACTTGGAGGGGATACTAGAGTACATTCATAAATAATTTACTAGTATGTGCTCAAAATGAATAATGACTTATAAATTATCCTGAGGGTTCTCACTAGGTTTTAGACTCCGAAGATTCTCTGGGGTTTAATGTCTTTAGACCCTCTTGCTCCAGAGTCTAAAAACGTTCCCGTCTAAAATGTTTTTACCGAGTCTAATTTTACATTTTTGTCACATTATTTGTGGTAATACATAAAACTGGAGACAAACAAGGAATAGGAAGTCAGAAACCTTTTAGAAATGTATATTGTTATTAAAATAGGAAGATAATCTTAATACATGTAGTTGTATTTTGAAAAGTATGCTAATAGGAAATCTCACATGGGGGAGATGTAGTCGTGATACTGCAAAAAATCTGGGGTCTAAACATTTCCTGGTGAAAACCCTGGGCTTTCATAACTATGGTGTTTTAAAATATGATATGCTTTTTAACACAACTAGGTGCTATATATAACATGGTGCTGGTTCTTATCTTTTTAAGAACTACTTTCAATGGACTACCTTTTACTGGGACTGTAATCATTTCCCTACCATCTTATATAGGTAGGTATGCTAACTATCTAACATATTCTCTCTCTATTCTTTCCTAGTGAATAAGTCTTGTATCTAATAGTCTTTATATTCTAATGTGCCATTCTTTTAGACCACATACATGAACAATTTGAACATGTAGATGTGAATTGGTTGTGTGATCTTGTATTTACTAGGATCGGGCCTATGAGCTCTCCAAGATGGGTGTTGAGGTTGCATTTGATTCAATATGTAACGAAGACTTCCTTGAAGAGCTTTTTGAGAAAATGAACTTCACACACGTGATTCATTTGGCTGCCCAGGCAGGGGTACGTTACTCATTGGATCACCCTACAACATACGTCCACTGGAATGTACAGTGTCAAACTGCACTGTTTGAAGTTCTGAAGGATTACACTGTAAGTATACCACCAGTCTATAGCAATGTTGGGATAGATGACTTATGTATTATACTTTGGTAGTACTTTGTCATTGGATTTTCACCATATCATTAGGCTTATGCATTGCCTTTAAACATTACAAGATATGTTACATCATAATGTCTCAGATTTTGTAATGTAGTGGTGTGTATGACCTTATTCCTGGCAGAAAAATGACCATACTATTAAAATTAGAATCTTTGCCAGCCATTTTGGGCATACTGCCCATGCTAATGCACTTATTTTACAATAATAAGGTATTGCTTTGTCCCTAGCTTCATTGAATTATTACCACCTTAAGTGTTGAAGTATTTTTAAATTAAGAGCCTTCATTTTTTTAGTGATTGACGTTCAACATTTGGTGCCAGTGGTAATGTGGGAGTTAAACCATGATACTTGGCAAATCAATGTAACTTTGGATAAGCTTTAAAATGATATATGACACATACTATGGCGACACTGGTATATGTCTGCCTAGGGGGGGCCCCATACTTTCGGGACACCCTGTATGTAACAAATGGTAGGTTGTGACATTTTGCATGTGATTGCCTTGTTTTCTTTTCAATTGCAGCATATAAAGTTATCATACGCCTCCTCATCAAGTGTCTATGGCAAGAAAAGTACCATTCCATTCACTCTTGATGCTAGGACTGATCTGCCAGGGAATATGTATGCAGCATCTAAGAAAACAGATGAACTCTTAGGTAAGCATTTAACCCAATTAGTCCATCATTGAGTACAATGATAGTGATACCTGTATATCCAAACATCTCTTAAGAGTAATCCAAACACCTCTTGATGCTGTCCCTAGCTCCGATTTCGTTACTCGGCTGGGAAAAAAGGTTGAGGGTATCATTTTGTTCAAGACACTCTCTAGAGTAAATTTATCTTGTGTGGAGTAAACTCCTCTCTAATCAACAATAAACTCAATGTGATGAACATTTTGGGTACCAAATTTGTTATCCCCATTGACTCACATGTTGAAAAATTTTAAAATCTGAACACCTGCTGAACCATACACTTTACGGCTAGACCAAATGGCATTCTAATTAGACTGGTTTTATTGTATGTTACTGCAAAATTGGCCTTTCACCAGTTATTGCTGATGAGAATTCATTCATTCAAAACACATGTATGTTCTAAAATGGTATGTTGAAAAATAGTAGAACAGATACATAGTACTACATAATCGGATTTAGTAAAACAGTCTGAATTTGAATGTAATTCATAAACCGCAATGACAAAAGATGGGAAAAGATCTGAAGAGATGAATTTCTCAGCGAGGATTAAAAATCAACAGAATTTCACAACAAAACCTTGATACTACTCATCGCTTTTATGTGGATGTGATCAAAGTATTCACACATATTTTATTTTTCTCCCTTAATTTGTTTGTATATTTCAGGCTACCATTACTGCTCAAAGTGGAATCTACGAGGGGTGGGCTTCAGATTCTTCACAGTGTATGGGATGTGGGGACGCCCTGACATGGCCATGATGGTCTTTGCTAAGTCTATTCTGGACAGGGAAGATCTGCCTCTCTTCCACTTAAGGTAAATGTAAATGTGACAACTTTTCATAGTGTCACACCCTATTTATGTGATGCCTGGTATTTGTGACACCTAAGCTGTTCTATGTCCGGACGGACAGGGTTACCCCTTTTTCACTTAAGAGCAGCATATATCCAGAATTGTAATTCGGTTTTATGAAAAATAACATGAAATAAAAATGTTGAAAAAGTTATGAACTATAATCTCATTGAAGCACTTGTTAATTTACATTCAGCGATGACCGGCCACTATCCCGAGACTTCACATACGTTGATGACATCATAGACGGGTTGCTTGCGTCACTTGACTACACTCCAGCAAGGTGTGGAGAGGTGTTTAATTTGGGAAATGGGAACCCAGTCAGCGTCCCTGAGCTTATTAAGTACTTAGAGGAAGAACTACTCATACCTGCTAAAGTGGTAATTAGTATTTAAATTTTTTTCCATCATCTGAACATCATCTTCCGATCACAGGGCTTCAAAATTATTTTTACCCCCTGCGATAAGCAGTTAGCATTTCCCCGATTAAGAACTCGCAATCTGAAGAAGGAGGAACGGATTCTGGACACCTGCTTAGGAGGATGTCTGAACACAGGCCTCCAAGAATGAATATAGTGGATGATGTCTGGAGCCCTGTGTTCGCAAGGTTATGTTTTTCAGAAATTTGCATTAATATAATGGTTAGAATTTCACCTTAAGTCATATGCATTTCTATGTCTCACATTTAATAAAAAATAGATGAAACTTCAGACTGACATTTCACTCATTGTCACACTGCTTTGTGTGGCTTGAGAGGCATTTTTACAACACTAGAATCATAGATAAAAATATAAAATGGGTCCCATCATTTTATTATGTCACCACCAAAAGTGGTGACATATTGTTATGGTCTCCGTTTTTTTGCGACGGCGTCCGGCGGTTGGCGTCCGGCGGTTGGCGTCCGGCGTCTGTAACAATTTCTTACAACTTCCTATAACTTAACAAATACTGTTTAGACTGACTTCAATTTTTTTCTAAATCATCTACATGTTCTCAGAAGTTCAAATCTGACTTTAGATTTGACATTTGACCTTCAATGACCTTCTCAAGGTCAAAAAGGTCTTTTTTCAACTTGCTTCACATTGACTAATTTTTTTTTCAAAATCATCTACATGTTCTCAGAAATTCAAATCTGACTTTAGATTTGACTTTAGATTTGACATTTGACCTTCAAATCTGACTTTAGATTTGACATTTGACCTTCAATGACCTTCTCAAGGTCAAAAAAGGTCAAAAAGGTATGTTTTCAACTTGCTTCAAATTGACTAAATTTTTTTTTCAAAATCATCTACGTGTTCTCAGAAATTCAAATCTGACTTAACATTTGACATTTGACCTTCAATGACCTTCTCAAGGTCAAAAAAGGTCAAAAAGGTCTGTTTTCAACTTGCTTCAAATTGACTAAATTTTTTTTTCGAAATCATCTACATGTTCTCAGAAATTCAAATATGACTTTAGATTTGACTTTGGATTTGACATTTGACCTTCAATGACCTTCTCAAGGTCAAAAAAGGTCAAAAAGGTCTTTTTTCAACTTGCTTCAAATTGACTAATTTTTTTTTCAGAATCATCTACATGTTCTCAGAAATTCAAATCTGCCTTTTCGATTTGACATTTGACCTTTAATGACCTTCTCAAGGTCAAAAAAGGTCAAAAAGATCTGTTTTCAAATTGCTTCAAATTGACTAAATTTTTTTTTCAAAATCATCTACATTTTCTCAGAAATTCAAATCTGACTTTAGATTTGACTTTAGATTTGACATTTGACCTTCAATGACCTTCTCAAGGTCAAAAAAGGTCAAAAAGGTCTTTTTTCAACTTGCTTCAAATTGACTAATTTTTTTTTTCAAAATCATCTACATTTTCTCAGAAATTCAAATCTGACTTTAGATTTGACCTTTGACCTTCAATGACCTTCTCAAGGTCAAAAAGGTCTTTTTTCAACTTGCTTCAAATTGACTAATTTTTTTTCAAAATCATCTACATGTTCTCAGAAGTTCAAATCTGACTTTAGATTTGACATTTGACCTTCAATGACCTTTTCAAGGTCAAAAAGGTCTTTTTTCAACTTGCTTCAAATTTACTTAATTTTTTTTCAAAATCATCTACATGTTCTCAGAAGTTCAAATCTGACTTTACATTTGACATTTGACCTTCAATGACCTTCTCAATGTCAAAAAAAGTCAAAGAGGTATTTTTTCAACTTGCTTCAAATTGACGAATTTTTTTTTCAAAATCATCTACATGTTCTAAGAAGTTCAAATCTGACTTAAGATTTGTGTGCAACTAGTTTTAACTTGCTTCAGATTGAACAATTTCTTTTTTCAAAATCATCTACAAGATCCCAGAAGCTCAAATCTTCAAAAACATTCTTAAGGTCAAAAGGTATTTTCCAACTTGCTTTAAATTGACCAAATTGTTTTAGGTGGTGACATTTTGTCATGTTAATGCCTTGTGATTTCTCCATGTTTTGTTGTTAAAAGACGCCATTTTTCATGGCTTGCATTTCGCTGCAATGTCTATAATAACAGTTACTCTTAGTCTGTGACACTTTGTCATGTTAATGCCTTGTTTTCCTCATTTGATTAATTTTTCAGAAAAAACTTCCAATGCCTCCTACGGAAATATTGAGGACGTGGTCTGATATTAGTGAGTCACGAAGACTGTTAGGTCTTGATCCAAAGACAGGCCTCAAAGAAGGTATGATTAATCGCATTTAAGTTCACCAGTCCACCATCAGTCTGATAATAATAACTCATAAACTAGTGATCTGATTATGTTTATGTATTATATAAAATGTGATGTACTCTTATGACATAAACTGATCATGTAAAGACCAGTGCCTCATGAGCCAACATTGGCTAGTGATAATTTGAATTAAGTACAGAACAGCCTGTATATCTGAACTCGTCTCTCATCTCAACAACTCTGTTATCGAAACACCTCTCAATGTGAACGTTTTGTCCTAATTTTGTGAGTTCCAAGAACTGGCATATTAAGAAACCTGGAAATGTGAACACCTTCGAAAGACATAATGGTGTGATAAAAAGGACATTTAATCCGAACACCACTTAGACATGCCAAAAGTGCCAGGTGTTCACATTTCAAGGTTATTTAACATGAAATTCTATGGCAAATTTGAAAAATGGGAACAGAAAGTTCATATTGAAAGTGTTCAGATTAGAGAGGTGTTCAGGTATACAGGTGTTATTGCAAATTGCTAGTATTTAATGTTGTATTTCAGGTATAACCAAATTTGTTGGCTGGTATAAGGCGTATAGACTTCAGAGAGAGCGCGAGGAAAAGACGGGAGAAGTCACACAGTCGGAGATCTATTTTGAAAAGTATGAGATATTCTGCTCATTACATTCACACGCACACTGACATTGTAGTAATACATTCACAAAAATAAAATTCAGCTTCAATATTAAAAAATCTCAAAATCCTGTCTTGAACTTTAAAACATGTTATTGTTGGAAGTCTATTATATCTTTTTTACAGTACATCATATTTATTTGTTTCCCAGTTTGGCTTACATAATTTATAGTTTGAGACACTTTGTAACATCAATGATAAATGTAACTAACAATATGCCATTTTTCAAATATTTTAGCTTGTGATAAGACAAACACCCACTAGGGTGTCATTATCACTATTATGTTTATATGATTTTAATAAATAAATAAAAAAAAATTATCAGTATGCCGGATGTAGGAAAGAAATTGAAAAATCGAGCCAGCATTTAAGTCGAAAAAGTCGGCAGTTTGGTAGTATTTTGGGATATTTGGCATATTAACATTGAATTATATATTATTTTAATTTTTATGTCACCACCAGAAGTGACATATTGTAATGATCTCCAACTTTTTTGTGGACTGTGTTTGGCGTCCGTAACAAATGGCGGTTGACATCTGTAACAATTGGCAGGTGGTAACATTTTGCATATTAATGCCTTGATTCTTCTTCTCAAAGTGCTCTTGATAATCCAGGTTGAAACAAGAAAAGGAGGAGAGAGAGAGAAGATACAATAAGGACAAATACTTTAGAGAGAATGCAAGATTCGCTCACAGACAATATCTAGAGAAACAACTGTAAGTCAAATTTATCAATTTATTATGTCACACTGTTAAATATTTTATCATGGCAAAGTGGGGGCATTTTTAAACAAACGTCACACTGATTGGCGAAAAAATTGTACTGACTGTGAAAACTCATATTCAGTCCCTCCCAGTAAATAACTTTTCAATTTTCATCTAGATATACATTTTGGACATCTTTTATTTGATATACAAGGGGTGATCTATATATTCGTATAAAAATGCTCATTATGATTTAAATTTGCAGAATTGTAGACATGGCTAAGTCTAAAGGAGCAAAGGTCCCTACAAAGGAAGACAGGTCCTACATCTATCTACAAGGAGTGGACTCTCCAGATGGGGATTTTATTTACTTGCCAAAATTAAGAGGAAATCTTAAAGTAAATATCATTACTTTCCACCTGTAAAATCAGACTGAAATCAGATGATTTATTACAAAATTTCATGTTTCAAGAAAAAATATGATATCTTCTGATTGAATGTAATATTGAGGTTATGTCACTATTATGTGAAATATGCCTGATTTCTTGTAGTATAGGCCAACCTTTGGAGGCTCTATATTGGGGGAAGAACGAAGGCATTATTTCACGTCATAGTGATATAACTGATGTATTACATACCTTTATTCCCATGGTTACTTTGTATCAATGACATCACACATCTGTATGCGAGTAGAAATTAGTCGAAATGGAACATGACTTCTTGATATTGTCATGGTTATTAAAGAAGCTAATATCAAAAGGATATATTGGTGGGTATTGCATACCTAACGAAGCATTTTGTATGGAAGTCAATGGAGCTGAAGGTCGGCTATGTATTTCAGTATAGCTGCCAAACTCGCAAGCTCGGGCTATATTGATGACAAAACTCAGGCATATATTCAATGATGGAGACATAACTGCTAAATATTGCCCGCTAACTTTCCCATTCACTTCCATACAAATGCTTCACTAGGTATGTTAATACAGTCTGATATGATGTAATAATATAGTGCAGTGATATATTATCATTATTAGTGCTATATTGTTTTTGCTTAGGCTTCTGAGCATGCACCTGGGTGGGCAGATACCGCATAAATCCCATCTTTAAAATTTCAGGAAAACCAATTATTCAACTGAAAAAAATTGCAGATGTAAGAGTGGGCTAGTGCTATTGATTAGGTTTCAGGCATGATCGGTTAATTACATGGTGGCCATTTTGTTGTTCAAAGTGCAACATTTATTACTGTGTGTTTGTCTTGTTATTAGCTCACATGGTGAGCTTTTGCAATCACTCACTTGTCCATCTGTCTGTCCGTCCGTCCGTCCGTCAACAATAGTGGCACGTTTTAAAACCTCTGTCGATAGGATTCCTGTTTTAAGTTATTTCTGTTCAACATCAATACAGAAAACTCCCCTATGACTCCTGGTTCAAAAGCTCGTCTATTTTCAAAATGGCCGCCATTTTTGACACGCGAAATTCACTTTTGACCCATTTCCTAGCTTTACAAAGAATTTCAAGTGTCCTACATTGTAAAAATCCATGTCACTGTAAAGAGTAGTTGTATGAAATAATTTTGTTACAAATAATTGGCCATTTTACTTAACATCGATTTGTCCATCTGTCTCTCAGTCAGTCCAAAATAGTGGCAAGTGGCTTGAAATAATTTTGTTACAAAAAATCAGCAAAAATTACATCTGCTTTTTGGGTTTTTTTCTGTCACCATGGAGCCCAGTACCCATGGTACTAATTTTTTTTTATAATGGTATGAAATAACTACAAGATAAACAATTTTCTTAACCTGTGCCTACTGACCATATATATTGGAAATGTATATTCAGTATTTCCAATGTTAATTAATATTTCAGGGTTTGAAGACACACTGTGATAGAAGTGACACATGTTTAGCTTTCAATAGCAGAGGTTATCTGAAGAACAAGCTGTCACCAAAAACTAGCTGGATGAAAGGCATGTATGAGACACCAGATGATGGACTCTTTATTGCTGGTAAGTGGTTATGAGACACCAACACATCTCCAAATGAATGGTAGTTTATATCATGCACTTTCAAGAAAGTCTAGAAAGGTTTTCTTTTCATTAGTTTTCTTGTTGGATATTGTTCCAATTTTGTACTTTCATTCATTTGCAAGATTATTTTATAGATGAGGAATTATTTCATACATTTATCCTCATATCATTTTTAAATGCCAAAAATATAGAAAATATCTTATACTTATCGTATTTCCATAGATTTGAGGAAAATAAATGTATCCTATGCTGATTCTGTTACTGACATTGGACCTCAATTTTATTAAGACCATGCATGGTCAACTGAATGCTTCATGAATATTTGTTTTATTGTATTTACAGATATTGATATCTGCACCAAGAATCTACACGAATGCTCAAAACATGCTACATGTTCTCAACAGCGTAAGTATTTCATCTTTTGTTGTGGCTATTGAAGCTTCAGGCCCATAGCCAGGGGGGGGGGGAGTTCTATGGGTTCGAGCGAACCTTTTACCATTCCAAACATTTTTTAAGTGATTTTGGCCATTTTTAGATCAATTTTAAAAATAGTGAATCCCCCTTGGCAAAAGCTGGCTATGGGGCTGTGTTCTTTTTATTAAGGTATTTTCCCTTGTGATTTTCAGCGAAAAAGCTTGAATAGATACTTTGATAAATCTTATATTGTCTGATGCCTCAATGATACTCACATTTAACAATGAAAAAGAATGTCACATATAAATGGGGGTTCTGTAATAATAATTTCCTTATTAAACCATTTGACAAATTACAGCGCAAGGACAGTAATGTTAATGCAGTGTAAAAATCATCTATGCATATTACAGTGCCGGATAGTACATTTGTACACATGTAAATGTAATCAAATATACATATTACAGGGCCAGGAGAGTACACATGTAAATGTAATCAAATATACATATTACAGGGCCAGGAGAGTACACATGTAAATGTAACGACAAATACGTTGGGGATGGGAAAACATGTCTGCCCAGACATGACGAGATGACCATGGCTGACATCCATGTTGACAATATGGCTGAATTCTTTGGTCCAATCAACTTTGGAAGATTTAAACAAAATGCAGAGTTTGTTTTCTTTGAGGTAAGAGTAAATGGATATTTTGATTTGTGTAGAATTTATTTATTTATTAATTATGGCCATGGGATACATAGTAGTCACAATTGTTTCATTCAGCTTAATTCAGCTTTTATATTCAAATATTTTCTTCATGTCATGCCTGTTCAATCCAAACTTTTATCTTCAAGAAATTCCCAACTGCACCATTTTCTGGTATTCCTCCTATCTATTTTCACTCCTATGATTTGCAGTGATCCCCCAGCATTTGAGCACTCAGTTGAGAAATTATCCTCCACACTGATTTCTATTTGGAATCATAGTTATTGTAACATAAAAATTGTTTATTTTCAGGGTGTCCAGAGTCCTGGTGGGGACTTCATGGTTGCACCAGACCTGAGTGGCTCTAATGAGAGTCTCAAGAAAGCATGCTTGGAGATGGAAATTTGCTTAGGTGAGGAATTTCAACTTTCAATGTACCCTTTTAAAGCGTGGTAGTTTGGAACCTCAATAAGTTGAGCTTAATACTCTTCAATGCAAATTTAAAGGATTACTACTTTAATTAAATCTCATTATCATTGCAGCGTTTACTACAGAAGGAGTGTTCAAGAAGAGCGTCTCTCCCCCACAAAACTGGAAACAGGCCCCTCAAGGACACTCTCCAGGGACAGGCCTATTTATACTGGGTAAGTAATAACACAACATCTATTAGGGAGAAAATAAATAAATTGTTACATAGCCAGAAACATAAATTTTTAGTGCTTTGACTTGTACATCAAGTTTTAAAAGGAAAGGACTATGAGGAAACCAGTAAATGTTCAGTTACATCTATTTGGAGCAGGTCGATATGAAATATCCCTAATTAGGATTTCAGTCAATATTTACATACCTGGTCAAGTAATATGGCTATAGTTCAAATAAACAAATGATATAAAAATAAACCATGATAGAATATCCATATTTTGAATATTATCTTTGTAGATCTGGATTACTGCACGCTGAACAACTTCAATTGTCCCAACAACTCATCTTGCCAACAGGTGGAGCCAGCAGTCTACAACTGCACGTGCAACAAAAACTTGGCGCTCGTCAATGGTCAATGTATAAAAATGACAGCATCGAAGCTAAATGAAAAAATTGACCAAGGCATTGATAATGTTGAGGCTTATGATAGGTTAAACAAGGCTCCAACAGACGAAGAAATCAAAATGAACCAGTATGTTAACTTAGAACTGGGAGATAAGATGAACAAGGGAGTTGATAATATTAAAGATGTTGAAATTGTTGATGGTAAGAAGGAATATTTAGATGATGATGAAAAGGATGGAAATGATGATAAAAACCCAGTTGATAACACTGACAACAATATCAATCATGATGAGGTTAATGATATAAAAGATATGGATGTTGATGGTAACAATGTAGAGAAAGACACTAACGATAACAAAAAAACTAAGGACAATAATATAGGTGATGACAATAATCATGCTGGGGATAATGACCAAGTTGAAAGCGTCAACAAAGTTGTTGATTATGATAACCAAAATGCTGCCTTGCAATTCAATAAAGAGGTAAAAGATGAAGATCATGTATTAACTCATAATAGTCAGAACATGAAGCATGCAGAAAATAATGTTAACTCTATTAAGGGAGTGAATGAAATGAATCCTGAAGTGAAAAGACAACCAGCCATTGTGGCTCAAGAGGAGCATGACAATAGCAAAATGGAGCATAAGGATTTATCAGTGAATCTGAATCCATTATTATCTGATAGTCATGTTCAAAACAACCATATTTCAAACAAACTTATTCCAAACAAAGTCATTCCAAACAACCTCATACAAAAAAATGCCATTCCAGAAATTAATAATCCACGTATATCTGATGAAAATATTCATCATGTTGAAGGAGGTCTCAACAAAGTACAGAACAATATTGAGCTGAGCAAAGGTCAAAACAATAATTTGAACAAAGTGCCAGACAATACAGATCTGAATAATGTACAGAAAAATAGAGATCGGAATAATGTACAGAACAATAGAGATCTGAATAAGGTGCCAGTAAATATAGAGTTGAATAAAGTGCAGGACAATAGAGATCTGAACAAGGTGCCAGACAATATAGAGTTGAATAAAGTGCAGGACAATAGAGATCTGGACAAGGTGCCTGACAATATAGAGTTGAATAATATAGATCTGAACAACAATAAAGATCTGAACAAAGTGCCAGACAATATAGAGTTGAATAAAGTGCAGGACAATAGAGATCTGAACAAGGTGCCAGACAATATAGAGTTGAATAAAGTGCAGGACAATAGAGATCTGAACAAGGTGCCAGACAATATAGAGTTGAATAAAGTGCAGGACAATAGAGATCTGAATAAGGTGTCAGAAAATATAGAGTTGAATAAAGTGCAGGACAATAGAGATCTGAACAAGGTGCCAGACAATATAGAGTTGAATAAAGTGCAGGACAATAGAGATCTGGACAAGGTGCCTGACAATATAGAGTTGAATAAAGTGCAGGACAATAGAGATCTGAAGAAAGTGCAGGATAACATAGATCTGGACAAAGTGCAAGACAATATAGATCTGACCAACAATGCCAAAGCATTTGACAATAATGCCCAAGCCCCTTTGAATAATGCTCAGGCACTGAATAATGTTGCCCAAGGACCTTTAAATAATGCTCAAGTCCCTTTGAATAAAGCCCAGGCACTGAATAATGTTGCCCAACGACCTTTAAATAATGCCCAAGTCCCTTTGAAAAATGTCCAAGTCCCAATGAATAATGTCCAAGTCCCAGTGAATAATGCCCATTCAGTTGACAACAATGCCCAAATCCCCATAAATAATGGCCAAGTTCCCATGATTAATGCCCCAGTCCCAGGGAATAATGCCCATTCAGTTGACAACAATGCCCAAATCCCCATAAATAATGGCCAAGTTCCCATGATTAATGCCCCAGTCCCAGGGAATAATGCCCAAGTCCCCATGAATAATGCCCCAAAACTTGACAATAATGCCCCAGTACCTTTGGATAATGCCCAAGTCCCCATGAATAATGCCCAAGCATTTGATATTAATGGCCAAGTTCCCATGATTAATGCCCCAGTCCCAGGGAATAATGCCCATTCAGTTGACAACAATGCCCAAATCCCCATAAATAATGGCCAAGTTCCCATGATTAATGCCCCAGTCCCAGGGAATAATGCCCAAGTCCCCATGAATAATGCCCCAAAACTTGACAATAATGCCCCAGTACCTTTGAATAATGCCCAAGTCCCCATGAATAATGCCCAAGCATTTGATATTAATGGCCAAGTTCCCATGATTAATGCCCCAGTCCCAGGGAATAATGCCCAAGTCCCCATGAATAATGCCCCAAAACTTGACAATAATGCCCAAGTACCTTTGAATAATGCCCAAGCCCCCATGAACAATGTCCAAGTCCCCATGAATAATGCCCAAATCCCTTTGAATAGTGCCCAAGTCCCCATGAATAATCATCGAGTCTCTATGAATAATGCCAAAGTCCCAAAGAACAATCCCCAGGTTCCCATGAACAATCCCCAAGTTCCCATGGACAATGCCCAAGTTCCCATGGACAATGCCCAAGTTCCCATGAATAATCCCTGAGCACTTGAAAAATGCTCATTCAAGATTCAAGTAATTGTTCAAAAATCAATATTCATCTGGTCAAAATGGCCCAGATGGCCAATGAATTTTTAGTTTGGTTAAGTCCAAGATTAGATTGTTAGAAAAAGTAAACAATGGTGCCTTAATGTGGCTTATATGGTAGAAACGAGGCCTGAACAAAACTTCAAAATCAATGTAGTTTTCAACATGTATTATCTGTTTGCCAGCTTTGTTTTGGAAATATTTAAGGTGCTGGAGTAGAATTATTTCATTTTTAAACTTTTGTTTTGATAGATAATCTCAGTAATTTGTGATACATGTATATAACGTTCACTTGTTATAAGAATGTTACACTTGGATATTGTAATTTTTTGGGAATGCAAAGCTGGGCAAGCCATTGCAAAATCAGTTTGTACATCCTTAATTGCTTACTAGTATGTTTCCTGCATATTAATTTCATTTATAAATATGTTGTCTAGAATTTTGTTTATTGTTTAAACACTGTGTGTTTTATTATTTTATTGTTAGCCTATGAAGCATTATTATATCAATTAGCGTTAGATTAAGCTTTATTTAGTGTATGTGCAATAATGTCTTACAGTGCTCTATCGGACATCATTTTTATTTGGGCCACTGGAGTTATTTTCTCACTGGGCTATTTTAACCATAGAATTATTTTGACCTTGACCTCGTAGTTCAAATTCTGGCAGCCATGTTTGTTTTTGAAAATAAGTTAAAATCTACTATCCGGCCAAACTACCCTAATACGTCACTTCCGCTGAATAGAAAAAGTAGTTTTAAAAAATGAATGTAGTCCCAACACAATTGTGATCATGAAGAGTCAGTAAGCTAGTATGTAGGTACAGTTGTCATCTTTTTGCAATTATAACATGCCATTTCTTCTGAAAATGCATTTATTTGGGTTATCTGAAGGGAATTTTCGAGTCAAGTGGCGTATTAATTTTGGCTTAATTTGAATTTCAATTTCTGTCGGCAGAGAGGGGGTTGTGTCACAAATGACCAATTATTTCAAAAAGTAGATGTTTGACCCCAATTGAGTTTCTAGTCAAAATGTAGCATATAGACATTGCTTTTGAACTTCAGATAGGCCAGTGGGGCCACATAAATCCATAACTCGAGATAAAAAGTCAGGCGTTTGCGCTTTTGCCCATTGACTAGTATGGTGACGTGAATAAGGGCTGTTTTGCCTCCAAGATGGTTATTTTGTTTTGAAATAGAGGCCAAGGTCAAAATAATCATGTGGATGAAGTAGCAGGAGAAGATATCCCAAGAGGTCATATTTAGACAAATGTCTGCTAGTATAAAGCAACAATAAAGACAAGCATTTTAACTTTTTGTTTTAAAAATGGTTTAAATGTTATGTGAATTATGTGTTGAACTCATTATATTTATCTGTACATGAACATGTTTTATCAAATTATCATAGGCCCTGTAGAGTCTAGTCTGATAGATCCATTCCAAAATCAAAATTTGGCAAAGAAAATATTTTAAAATCTCCAAGGATTAATTCTTATTTAATTTGGCAAATTTTGGATGTTGGACTTTTGCTAAAGATTTTGCCAGCCCCATGTTTTATATAAAGGGATTTCAGTACTAGAATGTTATAAAGATGGCAGGACTGTAGCAGGTTGATTTTATAATAAAGAAGATATAAAATTAGTCTAGCATCGGGTCTTTTGAACTTCAAAGTCGGGATTTCTCAATGGCTTTTAAATACCAAGTTTTATGACAGTGAGAATCTTTGACTGATATACATTTGAATGGGACCATTAATGTACTCATATTAGATCACCCTGTAACATTCTAGTATTGGAATTAACCCTTAGTTATTCGAGATTATGACTAAAAATGGTGCAAGGGTAAAAATGCAGTATTTGAAGTACATGTAAAGGCTTATAACCAAATTAAGGGCTTAATATAATACTGAAATTAAGGGCTTAATATATGATGCCTTAGAGTTTGCCATTATCAAGGAATATTGTTAAACATTCCTTAAATTGAAGATTTTCATTCCTTAAATTGAAGATTTTGTCATATTTCTTATTTTAAGATGTTGTGTTGCATTGGGGGGGGGGGGGGGGGGGGGTAGAGAGGTATGTATTTGCCATTGATACCTGAGAACAAGGGTTTGAATGTATAGTCACTCATTCAATGTATATTTAACTTAAAAATAGGAATTAGAATATGTGGTGCTAATGTAGGCTGACATTTAGTGTTACTAAGATCTTAATAATCTCAATCTTTGTTACGACAACCTGTATGAATATTGAATCATCTACAGTGAAAATATGTATTGTTCAGTTGTGTTGTATTTTATGATATGTATAGATGCAGGAAAGGGTAGAGATGAGTGGGAAAAAAATATTTTCAAAATTTCACAATATAAAATGTTTGGTTCTTGGATATGCTTTTGCTTGTTTTCTTATTGAGGTCAAGAATTCTGACGCCATTTCCTGAAAATTATTCCGAATTTGCATCATAAGTCTTGAATAATTATCATATATGATCTGATATCTCAACTCGATGTTGATTGAAAAGTTTACTTCCAACATTTTATTTTCTCTATCATTTGCTACCACTTTAAGGGGGTGTCCCAAAAGTTTTGCACTTAATGGTCCACTCATCTGTTTTCTTAACTGCGAGACCTCTCACTTACTGACAGAAGTACAAACTGAGAAAGGATAATGGCAGTTTAATAACTAAACTTCAATTGACACAGTCTATATCGATAGATTTACCAATATATTAACTGTACTGTTCTTTACTTTATTCTAATAATTATGATTTCTAGCTGTTCACTAAAGTTTACATACTTTTTATCATTAGTTTTATGGCTATCCACTAAATGAACACAAATGAGTGAAGAACTTTTGTGCAAAACTACGCAATAGCACATAAGAGGCGTAATATGCCCAATTATGTAAATATGGTTTTGCATCGTATACTAAGTTGGGTTAAGGTGAACTAATAAATTGAATTAATGTAAACTTTGGTCTCTTTCTTTAAACCTGGGTTTAATCCTAATGAAAAGCTAACAGATTTTTGTGACTATCTCATTCACATCAATTCGTTCATTAGCATTTTTTAATAAATACCTTATAGCCAGACATCATTCAAGTTTTGAATGGTTCTGAATAATGTTGAGGTGTCAGTAGCATGTCTCAGATAAAAACAAGAGAGAGTTGTATAAGAATAAGTGAGGTGTTAGCTGGCAAGATAGTAAGATAAACATGAAACTTCATTTTCCCAATTTCAATTTCAATTAAACTATTCTGAATTGACATGATATGGACACATTCACCATATTTGTAAGCCATTCAAAATCTGAATAAACCCAAGAAAAGATTATTCGTATGTGAGCCTCATGTCACCTAAACTTTCCACTTAACCTTTTTCAACATTTAAGAAATACAATTTGATTATCTGAAAAGCACTCCTTGTCAAGTTATTTTTAGCTAACTGGTGTACTGGTGTCTGGTGTACATTTTTCTTAGGTTTTTTATGTCACCACAGCAAGTGGTGATTGGGGCTATTAAGATCTTATCAGCATTAAAACTGTAATTTCCATTTTTTGTGGATGGGTGTTTGATGTCTGTAACAAATGGCAGTTGATGACATTTTGCATGTTAATGCCTTGTCTTAACATTGTTTGATTACCCCAGAAATTATATTCTATTATTTGACTTAATTCGAAATTGCGATCAACATTCTAAATGATTCACCAATCAAAAATTTCACGGGTGATATGATGCCAAATAATGATATGTTTAATTATTTTAAGTATTCTGCATGTACATGGTCATTGTTTGAAGAATGACTTCATATTCCATACATGTGTATTATCATGATGAGCTATCATTGGTTATTGGTTATTAGAGTGTCATGTCACTTTTATCAATACAAAGTATAGCTGGTGCCTTATTTACTGAATTTAAAAATCCAGTGAATCCAATGTATGTACAGTGTACTCTAAATGGGTGTAGTCTAAAAAAATGTTGAGTCCAATTTAATTTTCAAGGGGGGGGACCCGGGCCCCCAGCCCCCCCCCCCCCAGATCCGCCATTGGTATGTACAGTGCACTCTAAATGGATGTACTCTAAATGGGTGTACTCTAAATGGGTGTAGTCAGGGTTGATGCAGGGGAGGCAAGTGCCTAACCAAAATTTTAAGGACATTTTTTTATTCTGATGTTTTTTTTCCTAATAGTGTTGAATCAAAATTCAAAAGTTCTAATATACCTTGGACCTCCTTTAGCTTAAAGGACAAGTCTGGGGTTGGATCGGTGAGTCTCCTGGGCTAATAATTTTTTTATGAAAAATATAGAAATATCACCCAAATTAAATTATAGATATTCAAAAAGACATTTAAATGTACAAGATGTAAAAATATCAAAATTGTCTGAAGCAGGCATAATATTCAGTAGACCGTTTCAATAAAAAACATGTCTCGATTTGGAGAAAGAAGTTCATCAGTGTACTGCGCTTATAATTTTTTATGAAAAATGTAGAAATATCACCCAAATTAAATTATGAATATTCAAAAGAAGCCATTTAAATGTACAAGATGTAAAAATATAAAAATTGTTCAAAGCAGGCATAACGTGCAGTAGACTGATGAACTTCGTTCTCCAAACCGAGACTAGTCTTTTGCCCTGCCAAATTTTTTATCCTGGCTACACCGCTGTTCTTATATGTTAATCATGTACTTTACTTGAGATTTGTAATAAACATATATGTAACAACATGTTGCTTTAATGTCAATATTTACTAAATTGATAAGGCAACCAGTATTTGGCACCTTCAAGTACTCTAAAATATAAATACAGTTGTATTTCATTTTCTTGTCTAAGATTAAGTGTTTTTTAGTGTTGTTAACCATGTATTGATTATCCATGAGAGCTTTTTATTTTTATAGTTTAGTTTCATTTTGCATGGAAATTATTCTTGGAAAGTGTACATGTGAATTATTTTATTAAAATTTCTATAGAAAATGACCAGTCCCTAGAAGCACATGGATTTGTTTACATGGAATTCCTAGGTGTTTCCCCTATAATTAGTATTACGTTGTAGTCATGTGATCAATTTATTTCCAAGCTGTCACTGTATTGAGTTGTATACCTACCTACATACAGGCAGGCAATGAATGAAAACCAATACAACTATTTCAGCTGGATATAACAATACTTGGATTCTTACTTCATATCTCTGTCAATATGTCCGTTAGAGAAAGCTACACGAAGGCAGATAACACCAAAAGTGAATTTAGAGAAAAGACTTGGCCTCGGTTGAAGCCAATTGGTGGAAGACATGAACATAGGCATCAATATCCCAGAATTGATGAAATATTTCAAAATGGGAAATCTACCTCAACTGAAGATTTCAAGGTAGATCAAAATGGGAAACCTCTAGCTGTGTTTAGAATAACAAATGGACTACAAGGGTCTAGTCCAGAACTGGAAAATGGACACGGAACGAAAATCTCGGACACAGAAAGTATAACGAGTGATTATGAAGAATATGAAGAACATTTTTATGTTAGTGAAGAATCATTTAGAAATGCCAAAGAAAATCTTGGCGAATCAAAGTGGTTTGTCGGACGGAGAGATGTGTCCGATGTGAAAACTTTGGACGAAAGCCGGATTGTGAGCTCTAAAGGGACCGTGAGAGGGTTCAAAAATAGAGTGCGGGCTGGTATCGCAACATTCCTGACGACTCCTGAAGATAAAATAAAGGTATGTATATAGATCGTTATTCAGCATTATTTACATACAATTTATTTATTGTAGGAATTCAATTTTTGATTTGTTTTCAGAAGGTACAGGCAGGAGCTGGAACTGGTCACAACAATTCCTAGGGGGAGACTGATACATAATGGGAATATACCAATGTCAGGGGTTTCACTAGAATTTCTCACAACAGGCTAAATAAATGAAAACAACAATCATAAATTTAACATGGAAAAGTTGAAAAGTCCCTTAAAAACCGTTAAAATCGCCTGTTGCCTGCTGCTAATGGAACCCCTGAATGTGATATTAATTATGTTTATTGTTTTGCAGGTTTTGACAATATCACATCTGTAAATGAGTAGTTTGATGACAGGGGCAATATTAAAATGTAGATGTGATATCATTTCTAACTTATGTTTAAAACTAAGGTGAAATAAGTGTGACCTGAAAAGCCATTATGATTTTGATGGAATCATGACTAAAGATTTACTTAAGTATTGTCTTAAATCTTCCATTTTAGTCCTGTGTTTAAGAATAAAACAAATCTTGGTAATAATTCATGGCAAAAAAATAATCTCCTTAATAATAAGGATGCTATTTATGTCTTGTCCACATGTATAATGTATTTAAAAAAGTTAAACCAAAACATTGACATGTGAGTTATCTTCTTATATCCTTTTAATGCCTTGAACTGTCTTACAATGCACAGTAAAACCTGTCTAATCCGAACACCATTAGAACCAGCCAAAACTGTTTAGATTGGCAGATGGTCACATATTGAGATTTCTTACATGGAAATCTATGGCAGATTGAAAAATTAGACTGAAAAAAGGATATTTAGATTGAATGATGTTAGAATTAGAGAGGTGTTTAAGTATATAGGTTTGACTGTAATTGTATATGCTTATCTCAGGTGAGGCCAGGCCAAATCCAATGATGACTGACATCTGTAAACAGCTTTACTTGTTAATATATTTAGTTTATTTGAAGAAACCTACTTTTGTTAGCATTTTCAATGGAGACATTATTTTATTAGCCCAAATATATATAGATAAATAAGATAAGATTTGGGTATGAGTTTAAACATACATTAGTTTAAGGAAATTATATTTCCTCAAATTTGTTATCTCGTATAGATGTATATTATTTAGGTACAACATAAACTTAAGAGTTGATATGTACATACTACATATGTACACTGTAGACGGAAATTATATTTCCTCAAATTTACTATCTCATATATGTTGTTTAAAGGCTGTTATGTGTAAGTAATTGTTGATGCGATAAAGATTCTAAGTTTTGAGATTTAGATCATTAATGATTAACAATCAGATGTACATTTAGAAGGAAGGGCTTGTTTAAATATACAGTAAAATCTGTCTAAGAGAACACCTCTCTCTAGTGAACACCTCTCTCTCTAGTGAACACCTCCCTCTCTTTCTCTAGTGAACGCCTCTCCCTAGTGAACACCTGTCTCCAATGGACTCTTCCTCCCCACATACTCTATTGACTACTGTATAAATAACCCTCTCTGAAATGAACATCTACAAACACTGAATGTTTTTTCTAGGAAAAAATGTTCAATATACACAGGTTATTCTGTACATGATCATATTTCATTCAATGACATATGTCTATACATCTCATTTGTCACAATAAACTATATCTTTCAATTGATGAGTATGAGATATATTATCACCATATTGAATACTATGAACTTTATGTGTAACAAATTAAAAATAATTGTTAACTGTTTATAGTCCCTACTAAACAATATAAAATGTAATTTTACTACAGGGTGTAAGTCATCAGTCCTCGTCCCGTTTACCTGTATACTAATGATGAAAGTAGGAGGGGGGGGGGGGGGGTAAATGAAGGGGGTAAATAAAGGGGGGGGGAACTTACTCTCCCTTTTACCTATATCATTGCTTCAATAGATATGATACAAAAATAATAATATATCAGGTTTTATGATAGAAATGATGTCTCAGATTTTTACGATTGAAATCATATATCAGAATTTTTTATGAAATCATAAATGCAATAAATATTATTGAAATGATAAGTCTCTATACCTCTATCCATTGCTGTATTTCATGTATAGTTAATAAAGGCTTGATTATATTATCCCTAGAATAAGGTAATACACATGAATATATTGATCATTATTATTACACAGGTGAGCAGATTTCTCGTTAAGGTAATCCCTTGGGTGAATATTGATCTATCAGCAGAGCTAGCTGCAGACTAATAATGACAAAGGTATCAAGCCTCGCGAAAAATTACATGGTGGTCATGTTTTAAAATGGGAAATTAAGTGGAAAAGAGGGGAATTAGCAAGGAATAAAGAAAATAGACTTGTAGTCGACACTCTAAATTGTATAGAAATGCAAAAATAGCTGACAGTTCATTCACATTTTAGAGAGAATTGTGACGAATTATATAGGAATGACCAAAGGAAAGATTAATCACGGAAACCCGACAGTACAAGGGCCGATCAAAAAGTTTCTTACCGTTGGCTCTAGATTTTATAATAAGAGGAGTTGGATGCTCAAACTTTTACATGAGACAGGGTAGTAAGTTTGCTTGATACTGTATGAGTTTCATTTAAATTGGTGTATTGGTAGTGACTCAAAGTCAATACATATTTTCAATGATTGAATTAGGTGGAGCAGCGTTTTTTATAAAAAATTGTGCTTAGCTGCAGTTTTGGAAATTTCTAACACTAAGTAGCGTCATCTGTCAACAAACTGTAGTTTAATCATGTTTAATTAGTTTTTCTGCTAATATTCATTCTCATTCAAAATATTCATCCCCAGTTGCAATGCACTTCCTATATCTGTCCATCCGATCCAAAAAAACATGTTTAAGGCCTTCCTATGAGAGGTTTTAAACGATGTCAGTAAATTTCCAGAACCACGACTCAGCAGATATTTTATATATAACGCTGCTCCACCTAACTGTGTCATTGAAAATATGAATTGACTCTGTGTCACTACCAATTAACCAATGTATATGAAATTCGTACAGTTTCAAGCAAACTAACTATCCTGTCTCATGTTAAAGTTTGAGCTTCCAACTCCTCTTATTATAAAATTGAGAGCCAATGGTAAGAAACATTTTGATCGGCCCTTGTAATAAACAACATGGCTGAATATAGAGTAGTTCTGAAATTAAGCTCTGAGAATAAGATAAATGAACATTGTTCAAAAATACGAAAAGATTGTTCAGAAAAATCTTTAAGATGAATTAAGTTTACTTTAATAGAGAAAAGTGATCTTTTTTTTCAATTTAGATAGCAGTATATATTTGGGCAGGCTAATTAGCGTCTAAATCATTCATGAGCTAATACTGCCTGAGTGCACATATACTCTTCAAAGCTTTTGTCACTTGTTAAAGAGAACTTTACGATAATAAAAGGAAATGATGATACTCCAAAATAATACAATACAATATGTCTGACAAATATTTATTTCAAACATGAGTATGTACAGTTAGATGGAATCATAGATTGCTTTGAATAATAGTGAAAAATTACAAAGGGCAACATCAGAAAAATAAATCATTGGTATATGAAATGTTTTAAAGCCTCCCCCCCTCCTTTCAACCTAGCACAACTTAAAAAATAGATGAAACATATAATTATCATTGTTTCCCATATACATGGATTTAAATATAAATCCTGCTTTATCCTATTCCATCCCATCATTGTATATTATAGATGCAACGTAATATCAGATGTAATATAAAAATACTCTGTATTCATGAGCATACTGTATTAATACATAGACAGTATACATGTATGTCTGCGATCAATTAATTACCACTTACCCTTTTACCCTCTTCAAACTAAGATCATTCTAAGCTCTTAGAAAGTTAGAGATGAGATAGTAAACAAGGAAAACTGAAAACTGATACACGTTTTATAGTTCTAGTCTGTTCTCTTAAACCAACATTCCAAACTATACTTTTTGTCTTTAACATTCCTAAAAACAAAAAATGATGTCAGTTCGAGAGTAACCTGAGATTCTTTTTAGATATATACAATAATAATTTGATTGATATCTTCTTACTTTGTGACAATTAAATCTTCAGTTGAATTTATGGTTTACTTTTGGACATTACTACTAGCAGATGATTTTTTTATGGCTGAAATATGCATCTCATTGAACTATTTACTCATTTGAAGATGTAACAGAAGCAAAAAGTTTTGTCACCTTATCCTTCGACAAAAATGAAACAATGTTAAACAAAAAATAATTACTCGAGCCTTACATAATCAATTCACCTACATATTAATATATACACATACTGTGCTAAATTAATTATCACCTTTTTCATTCCCATACTATCTATAATTGAAGTTATGTAACATTACTCTTCTAATTAGTGATGTCAATATTTCTATTATAGTCTTACATGATCATTCATACTTTTGTATTGTGCGATACAAAGGCATTTTAGAGATTTTATATGAACCAATGTGTTTCACTTAAGTGTTGAGTGTTTTCCACAAATTAAAGAACATGTTTTGCAAAATTAAAATCAAAGTTGAATGTTGCTCTTTGTGTTTTGAACTTTGACATCTTAATGCTAAAATCCAATTTATGTCACCACCAAAAGTTGTGACACATTGCTATAGTCTCCAACTTTTTGTGACGTTTGTTGGCGTTAGTGTTTCGGCATCTGTAACAAATGGCATGTGGTGACATTTTTCATATTAATGCTTTGTATGGGGATTGTATTGGTAATACGTACCATCTTTTGGCTCATTTTGAAAAAATCAGCCATTTCTCTTCAAATAACCACATTTTCACAATATACAGACTCATCATGTGTGCCCAATGAATTGAGATTATAAAATCCCAAGAATGTCATTTCTATTTTAAACAGATTGGAATTTATCATTGACATGCACAAACAAGTGTAAAAAGTCAACAAAGCACTGTTTAAAGTAAACACTATAATAGCTAAAAGATTGAAGTCTTATCAATTTCAGTGCAAATCATATTATTTTTTACTTGGTACCACTTGGTATGCTTATGCAATACCAGTTTAGAATATGTCATTCTGGTTATCTTACAAAAATAGAAATGAGTGACTAAATCCTGTTGGTGCTCAACCTATAGAGGTTCATTTAACATTAAGGCAGTTTGTCTTAAGCTCTGAAAAGTGTTTCAAACACAACACCTTTGGAACATCTAAAAAGTGTTCCACATGGTAGGTGTTCAACCTATAGAGGTTCATATACCGTTAAGTTAGTTGGTCTTCGAACCACTAAGAAAGGTGTTCAACTAGCAATGTTCCACTTAACAGGTTTCGCTGAAGCAGTTATGAGAATGTGCTTGCAGGTAACATTCCATCATGCAGTATAAAGCACATATATCTAAACACCTCTCTAATATGAACACCTCTCAATGTGAATGCTTTTTGGTTCCATCTGCTATAGACTTCCATGTTAAAAAACTCAAAATGTGAACACCTGCCTAATTAAGCTAGTCTTAGGTGTTCAAATTAGACAGATTTTACTGTACATGGAAATGCAAGTACATGTACATCAGTTTTTCATCAAGCCATTCTACCCCCCCCCCCGCTACCCAACATTCAAGTAGATAAGTTGAAGGGGAGAAAGAGCCTTGAAAAAAAGTGAAACCTGTAAAGTGGAACATCTTTATAAGTGGAACACCTCTGTTAGTGGAACTCTTTCAAAGTCCCAAGACCAACTATTTAATGAACCTCTTTAAGTTGAACACCTAACAATTGGAACACTTTTTAGAGGTTCCAAAGGTGTTGCACTAAAGCAGGTTTTACAAAATAGCATATCAGACTGCAGATTGTAGAGAGAAACTATATAGAATTGGCACCAGAGAGAAGCTCATTCAGAAATTGTAATTTTGACTTTATAATCAATGACTAACATGAGAAAGACCAGAATAAATTCTTACCAAAATACTAACATTGCCTTTCTCATCACATGCCTTAAGTTAATATTTTTCTTTCTTATACATTATTCTTTGTAAACTAGCCAAACTGGAAATAGTTAAAACTGGAGATAGTTAACTTATTATTTTCCTTGGAAAAGTTTAATTCTTCTGCGCCATTCCAATACTTGCGAGAAGTTCCAATAAAAAACAATATGTTGTGTACATACTGTCAGATGGTCACATAGTCTTGTGTCAAAACATATCATTCAACACAAACAATGTTGTTTTTCATAATGACTAATACACTAGAAATTATGATTTAATATTAAAATGATATCACGTTATCAATATTTCATATCATGATGATTTAATTGTGACATTAATAATTTTACATATCCGTATGCCAGGACAAATTATGGGTAACTACTCATTTGATGATAACATGGGATGAAAAGGTTAATAGTCAGTGCGTATGTATCCCATAAAACGATTCAACTGAATAAATATATCGATAAATTAATGGACTTTTTGGTTTTTGAATTGCCAAATTTAAGATGTTTTGTTGGTTATTTATTAAACCCTAATGGATTTTATAATTGTGTACTGTTGATTGTTATTATTTGGCTTGGCTTTCTGAATATTATCTATTTTTGTTTTTTTTAGGAAAAAAATGAGATTTGAAATGTAATTATCACGGGGGTAAAGCAGACCCGATGATGCAATGAGCTTGCTCGGCGGTATCATGAATGTGTGACGGGTCTTAATGTATAAGTGTGCTCGGCGGTAGGTTCAAACAACGCGGATCCTCAAAGCATGTGCTCATGGTATATTCGTGTTTTAACACCTGTGATTATGATTGGATCAACATCAAATTATGGCTCCTAATTATGTCATAATAACAACTGCCCCCCCCTCTTCAATTTGACCTTATTAGGTATAATCAAACATATTAAAAATAACAAATACCACGCAAACTTAAATGTACGATATTTCCTAGTCATTGATAGAGTTATCTCAATAATGACTATATCATAGTTATTAATACACCTCATAAGGTTTACGTTATCATGGTGGAGATTGTGCAAATGTCAATCTACTCATTTACAAATATAAATTTTCTAGAATTGATAGATCAAATAAATGGCTTCAAAACAAGATAAGAAATCATAAAAGTGAAATGATTGAGACATTCCATTCTTAATACTATACTATACATGTTTTTCTCGTTGAGATTTTCTTCATTGCGATTTTTTCTAAATTGCGTATGAGATTTTTTGGACAGGATGTGTTGTTCCTTTGATTGCCTCAGGTTTAATGACAATTTCAACTTCTGTCATTTGTTTAACACAGCTGGTAGCATTCAACATTAATAGGTGCCTGTATCATTAATCATAATGCAAATTCCTATAGGAATTGTACCCTCATAAAAGTCAGGATTGTAAAACCTTGTTAATTGTTTTAACCTTTAAAGTAAGAGTCTTCACTTTTATAAGTATAAGTTAAAATCCAAACCCTTCATCCCTTCACTTCATCTAACATCATCATCGTCATCATCGTCATCTACAGTAATACCTGTCTTATCCAAACACAACTAGAATTTGCCAAAAGTGTTCATATTAGCAGGTGTTTGCATTTCAAGATTATCTCATTATGTAAATTAATGTGCATAAGAACAAAATTGGGACCAAGGAAGTGTTCACATTGAGAGGTGTTCATATTAGAGAGGCCTTCAATGTGAGCACACATGAAAAAATGAGTTTAACATTGTTTAGAAACATGTACCTGATTTTCCAGAAATGGAATTCTCAGAGTGAATTCCATTAGCAGGAACAAGGTCTTTAAGAAGTTCAGTAACAGGTACATAGCACAATAGTTGCTATAGGCCTTTCCCAGCATGACAAACCTAGTATTTTAGTGATACTATTCATCTGAGATTGCGGATCTATATATCATCAGTCAGAATCTACCTTGCTCTATAACTTATAAGTGTTAATTTTTGTATTGTCTAGTTACAGAGAAATCAGCCTCTTGTACTTTTAAGCATAGAACTTTAGAATTCTTGAGTATACTTCGTTGTTTTATTGTTTTATCTATATCCCTGCTTATAAGTACTGGTGTAACCTTGTACTAGCTCTTGTGTTTTGAGATTCCAAAACATAAAACAGACATTTAGTACATGATAACTCATTAGAGGGATCGGTCATTTTCTATACAATTTTCCTTTTTGAAACAGAGTAAAACTTCAGTAATACGACGATCGTATACTACCATTTTTTAGTTAAGGTCATCAACCTAAATTATGATGAATAAAAAATATTGATGAATAAAAAAAATTCGCCATTTATTTCAGGTCTGTTGATCACCATTCCTCACGATCTAATACCCATACATGTTCAATTTCATCACAATTATTTGTTTTGCACATGCGAGATGCTCTAGATCTGAAATCGTAACAACCTGCACTTGTATTCATAATTCTTTAAGTTTTTAGATTTTTAGAAGTCAAAAGCACCCTATGCCAAAGTCCACTGCCTTTGCATTTTTTCATGTTATTCTATATTGAGAAAAAAGAGTATATACTTCTTATTTCACCACCACTAGTGGTGACATATTGTTATAGTCTCCAACTTTTTTGTGAATGGTGTTTGGCAGTTGGTGTTTGCTGGTTGGTATTCAGAGTTCGATGTTTGGAGTTGGACATCTGTAAAAAATGGCAGGTGGTGACACTTTGCATGTTAATGCCTTATCTATAATTATAACGAATCTTTTTACATTTACTACCTAATAATTGACCATTTATTTCAGCTTTGGATGATGGACATGTTAACTCTGGCCATTGTAGGTTGCCATGTATTTAGAATAAGAAGTCTCAAACAAAACTATTATGTTGAAGGATCCTTTATTGTAATATTACATTCTGATTGCCTCTGTCATCAAACAAATAAATAAACAAACAAACAAACAAACAAACAAACAAATAAACAAACAAACAGGCTTTTATCTGATACATACACATGATAACTGTTAATTATAGGTTTCCATGCAAAAAACATCCCAAACAGTATTGTATAATCTCTTTGCTATTATTGTACCAAACAAACAAACAAACAATCAAAGAAAACAAACAAACAAACAGGCATTTATCTGATACATACACATGATAACTGTTAATTATAGGTTTCCATGCAAAAACATCCAAAACTGTAAGGTATAATCACAAGGTGCTACTGTCTCTGTCATCATCAAGCAAACAAACAAACAAACAAACAAACAAAATGTAACAGAAAAGCAAACAAAGAATGAATTCTTGTTTTTCTATTTTGCAGACAGATATGGTAAAATCGGAAAAAGGCAAATTGATATTCTATACAACCAGTGTGATGATCATCAGACAGACATATGAAAACTGTAAAAAAGTGAAGTCAATTCTTCACAATCATCTCGTAGAATATGAAGAGAGAGATGTATTTATGAGCACAGAGAACCAGAGAGAACTGATGGAAAGACTTGGTATAGAGGAGGTTCAGGTTCCTTTTGTATTTGCTGATGGTCAGTTGTTAGGGGTAAGTACAGTAAAACCTGTAAAAGTGAAACACCTTTGGAACTTCAAAATAGTGTTCCACATGGGAGGTGTTCTGCAATAAGAGGTTCATTTTAAGTAAATAAATGAGAAAGGGAACTTTGAAAAGTGTTACACTTACACAGGCATTTCAATTTAGAGGTTTAAGGTATATTGCAGGCAGAGCTGAGGTAGGGGTAAAGAGAAAGAGAGATGAGGATGTTGTCAGCTATGCAGGGGAGAGGGTCCCATCTTATGTAAATGTTCCCATTATACTTTTTGAATAACATGTTGAACCTGGACAATTACCTACTTGTCCATTCTTTAAATTGTCCATCAACAATTTTTGGACTAATGAAAACTGCCATTTAATTACATTAACTCCTGTAAATGCCCATGTCCATTTTATCTGGCTCTATGGTAGTAATTCATACAGTTGGTCCCAGCTCCTAGTTTTGCCTAGTTTTGCCTAGTTTTGAAAAATTAGCTTTTTTTCACTATGCAAGCCAGCTGAAATACTAGTTCAATGACATTCTCTCTTCAGACAAGTGCCAGACAAGTGGTACTAGAATTAATAGCAATCGAAATACTACTGTGCAAACATGAAACTTGAGATTTGCTCCCTGCAGTACTCAATGATTTCCTCATTGTGTTTTACGTTCTCAGATTATTCTAAACATATAGGATTAAATTATGAAGTACAATGGCAATGTCTGCTCCTGGATCAGTTATATAGGAGAGGGTGTCTGTCAGAAGTCCTTGAATTTTACACCTTGGCTTTTATAAGATGTACGCCATGTGGTTATTTTATATGGGTACACAGTATTGGTCAAAAACACATTGGCATAGGGATAGCCAATGGGGGGGATGCGGTTGCACCAAAATATACCATATTCAATGTAGATTTTAAAAATGTGAACCCCTGTACCCCCTTTTTGGGGCTCGCTTTGCTCACAGTGATGAAAACCCCAAAATTCGCACCCCTTGACATTTGCTGGCTATGTCCCTGCATTGGTCTAGTGAATCTCAATCAAATTCATCTCAATGATCTGAAAAAATCATCATTGATCTGAACATCAAAGGTCCCAAAAGTAAACATTTTGATATCATGCCAAAAACCACTAGAGGTTCATGTCATTGCTTTTTGGATCAATGGGATTCAAACCATTGCTTTTATACCACAGTCCTGAGTAATGAATTCTTATAATTCATAAAAACATAAAAACATGGGGTGTAATGAAACCTAATAATAGACCCTCCCTTAGACAAAAAGTCATAAACATTTGAAAATGCCAAATTTGGCATATATCAATATTACATTGTCTCACTGGGGGGTATCGTGATGCAACAACACCGTGTTGTTGCATCAAGATGGCCAGACTTCCGGTGATAGATTTTCGTACGATGTTTTGTTTTCCCAATTTACACCCATTTCTAGGACGAGTTGCTGAATAATCATACACATGCAGTTAGCGCATGATCTATATTTTAAAAAACTGTCATTGGTATACATGTAGCATCATCAAGAAGCGATAAATTCGTGGTTTTAATTTCTCACTATTGATGCAACAACACCACTCTGTTTATTATTGATGATACAACAACACCAATGTGCTGATGCAAAAACGCCAATATAATGTATCATTGAACAACAAGAGAAACTGTTTTATGTTCTGTTTAGGGCCTACAGGTGTTGGTCGGGACGTGAATGAAACGCGTGAGTCAGTGGTCCATGAACGAAACGTATTTTGTTTGGTTTCTTTGTCTATATCAAAGTTAAAAGGATATACAAGGCAAACTAAATAAAGTACAGAATCCCCGGGAGGCAATCTCATTGATATTGTATCTGAAAAATAAAGATTATACATTTTCTAAATTAAATGCCCTTGATTTACCGTATGGAAATTGCTTACAAATAACTGATATAATTTTGGAAGGACAACAGATATCAGTCATTTTGTGTTGTTAGTACCTCAATTGAAAAACTCAATTCTGATTGGTTGATGAGCGGTCAACAAAATGTATTGTTAGTACCTCAACTGAAATACTCGATTCTGATTGGGTGTTAGCGGTCAAAATTATGTACTGTTGACCGCTACTAGGTACTGTTGACCGCTACTTCTGAAAAAATGTTTCATGACGTCACAAAAAAACATGGAAGACGGACATTTTGTAAACGTTGATGAAAATGACTTTACTAGGCGACAAGTATAGCAAAAATACAAATAGAAACTTAAAATTAACATTAATTCACTAACGAGTACGCTGTGATGTGCCAAATACAGAGTTAAGCTACTTCCACTGTCTCCAAATTTTCTAAAAAAATATTGCTAACGTGGTTCGGAGAAAGGGTTGTGAAATGAAGCCATGTCGATTGATGATTGTCGTCTATATGTGTATTATTAGTTTACTCGGACTAACAAAACAATTGTAGACCTCTCCATTCGATCAACCGTCAAAATCATATACCTCGACTGTAAACCTTGAAACTACTGTTGACCTCGACCTTCGGTCTCTGTCAACAGTAGTTTTTCGGTTTACAGTCTCGGTATACAATTTTGCCGGTTGAACAATTGTAAACTGTTGACCACTACTAGGTACTGTTGACCCCTATTTTTGAAAAAAAAATTCTAATGTTGAAATTTTTTTAATTTTGAAAAAATAAGTCGTGTAAAAAATTACAAGTATTCGACGGTTTGGGGATTTTTTGCTAAAATATGATACCTTTACTTATCAAATATGTTCACGTGATATTCGATTATATATTCGTCCAATTATTATATTATTTGGACTAACAGAACAATTGTTAACCTCTCTTTTCGGTCAACTGGCAAACGTGTCCTCGACCTCAGGTCTTGATCAACAGTACTTTCAAGGTTTACAGTATCGGTATAAAATTTTGCCAGTTGACCTTAAGAGAGGTCTACAATTGTATATTATATCCCTCAAATTATTATATTCTTCGGACTAACAAACAATTGTTAACCTCTCTATTCGGTCAACTGGCCAAAGTGTATACCTCAACAGTAAACCCTGAGAGTACTGTTGACCTCGACCTCCGAACTTTCAAGGATTACAGTATCGGTATACAATTTTGCCAGTTGACCTCAAGAGAGGTCTACAATTGTATATTGTATATCCTTTGTTATCCCACCCAAAGTATGATGTCATATATCAAGTTGAAGAGTTGTATATGCTGCTCAGGAGTTTACGCTATCCAGGAGTTGTACATCGTTCTCAAGAGTTGTATAGGATGAGTGTTGGTTTAATGATATTGCAGTTATACAATGCTATTATATAAAGGTTGTTTACTGAGAGGGATTCAATATTGGTTTTATTAAGAGAGACAATATGATATTTCCCGAGGGACCGGGATATCTGGGATGACTGTACCCCTATCAATTTACCTTTTTGGGCCCTTAATCTTATCACTTTTGTTTACCTTTTTACTCTGTCGGAGAGAAGGAATCCAAAGAGAGTAATAATTCTACACGTGCGTCGTGCAAGATTTCCATTAAACGACCTCTCTAATAAAGTCAATTAGACGTTTTTACACGTTGGCTCTCCAAATTCACCCTATGCAGACAGAGTCTGTGGGAAATATTGGGTGCGGAGCAAATGAGCGGAGGGTGCGGAGCTAACGGTCATTTTTGAATTTAAATTTGGGATATTTCTGAAACTAAGCCGTTTTGGGACTTCAAATATACCAAGATATGTGTATTTGACACCAAATATCAATACAATTGTGAAAATAGTAGCGCAATTCATTCTATAGCGACGCAGTGTGCCTTAAACCTTTCCCAGACCTATATATTTTGAAATTATCCTTTTAATACTGAGTCCGCAGCATTCATAAAAAATGGTGTTCAAGGTACACTATCTATACAAATTATTTATTGCATCTTGGAAGCCAGGCAGTATCTGTGTGATTTTATAAAAATTCGGAAATGTTCTTCAGATATGAGCCCCCTCTAAATATTGGGTGCGGAGGAGCTCCATAAACGTACCTCCGCACCCAATATTTAGAGGGGGCTCATATCTGAAGAACATTTCCGAATTTTTATAAAATCACACAGATACTGCCTGGCTTCCAAGATGCAAAAATAATTTGCATGGGTAGTGTATCTTGAACGGGGTCAACCCAGTTGTCCGAAACCCAGTTGTCCGAAACCCAGTTTTCCGAAACCCAGTTGTCCGAAACCCAGTTCTCCGAAAATTAGGGGAATCTTGTTTGAAAAATACTTTTTTTGAACGAATCTCGTTGTCGCAACCTCTGCGAATCACAACATAACATTGGAATAACGTTGACATCATTGCAAAATTAGGCTAAATATGCTAAGTCAAGACGTTAATTGTTTAATGTTTAGCCTACGCAAGTTTACACAACATACATAGGGGTCTACAATTTTTAAACCATATTTCTTTATGGTCCATGGGCCTTTTTTGAGAGGGAACAACATTTTTCCAATGGGTGATTGGCGTTCATAAAAGGAAAAATAGCTTTCCCAAGCCAGTAGGCATTTATTTAGTAAAGTTGACACGTACATCTTTTGAAACCAAAACTTATTCTTCACTTACGTACTCTGTTTGGGAAATAGAGATTAAATTAAAAGGATGAAGTGAGTACATGGCGAAAATGAAACTTCTTGCGAATGGGAGAACATCCATTTTGATACGAGGACAGCCTGCCTTCGTTTCCAGTTGATCCCAAGTGATTAAGTTAAGAATGTTTTGTTCTTTTACGATTTGATAAAATACAGAGACTAAGAAATTAAATGCGACGAAATATTTTGACAACGTTAATATGTATACTGTTTTATTCTTAAAGTACTATATGCGTAAACCTATTTTATCTGTTTCAAAATGATTCATTTTATTTTGCCTATATAAAAGAGATTGAAGAAGATAAGATAAACTGTCCCGTAATATATATTGTGTTTTGATAACCTTTTTTTAGAATCACAATGTAAAATAAATCCCCTGTTCCTGCCATTCTGGTAACGCGTGCAATGGATGCAATTCAAAGTGAGAGAGAGATGTATGAACATCAGAATGCGTCCATGCCATTAATTTGGCCAAATACATGGCATGAAACTGGCCTAAGCTTAAAACGTCTCCCCTTTCTCGTAAATTATGACTATATTTTTCGGAGTAATGGGTTTCGGACCCGGGGTTTCGGACAAGTGGGTTTCGGACAACTGGGTTTCGGACAACTGGGTTTCGGACAAGTGGGTTTCGGACAACTGGGTTTCGGACAACTGGGGTGCACCCATCTTGAACACCATTTTTTATGAATGCTGGGGACGCAGTATTAAAAGGATAGTCACAAAATATATAGGTCTGGGAAATGTTAAAGGCATACTGCGTCGCTATAAAATGAATTGCACTACTATTTTCACAATTTTATTGATATTTGGTGTCAAAGACACATATCTTGGTATATTTGAAGTCCCAAAACGGCTTAGTTTCAGAAATATCCCAATTTTAAATTCAAAAATGACCGTTAGCTCCGCACCCTCCGCTCATTTGCGCCGCACCCAATATTTCCCACAGGCTCTGTCTGCATAGGGTGAAATTGGAGGAAATAAAGAATCATATTATATTGTATCATAGATGAAGCAATCATCCCATCAACAGAAGCTCACGGATGTTACAGTTCAACTGTTTTAGTTATAATTTGATAAACAGTGGTAACGTACATCTACTAGTTTATCACTGTTCCACAGATGGATGACAGATAATTTCCAATAGCTCATCATGTTTACAGAGAACGAAAGATGTTTGTCCACCATTTTGAATGATAACTGGAGTCAGGGACATCAAGCTATGGAACAGTGGTTTATGAAAATAGATTGGGTTACTAAAGCTTGCCATATTAAAGGCGATTGAACTATGTTATAGAACAACGTCCAGTACATGATAATATTTAAAAGTATAAATTTTTGAAAATACATATAAAGGATCTTCGCACACAGGACGTGTATTTTGAATGCCTTGAGAATAACGAAAATATGGGTAATGGGTAACGGTGTTGCAATAGTAGCATTTAAAAATCTGTTCCTCTCGAGATTTATGGTCTTCTGAAATTATACTATTAATTGGTGTTGCTGCATCATTGCTCAAATCTAGAGGAGTGTTGTTGCATCTTCGGTTTGGTGTTGTTGCATCAATAGTGAGGAACTAAAACCGTGAACTTATTGCTTCTTGGTAATGGTACATGTATACTAATGACAGTTTCTTTAAATATAGATCGTGCGCTAACTGCACGTGTATGGTTATTGAGCAACTCGTCCTAGAAATGGGTTTAATTGGGGAAACAAAATATCGTACGAAAATCTATCACCGGAAGTCTGGCCATCTTGATGCAACAACACGGTGTTGTTGCATCACGATACTCCCCAGTGTGTCTGTAATGATTGCTTTGAATTGATTATATCAGCTGTGAACCCATAATGGATTAATTATTCAAGAAATTCAAGGTAGAGATCCAACTAACATACAGTAATACTTTGGCAATAAGAGACTTTATAGCTAAATAAAGCTGAATAAATAGATGTCAGCACGTGTTTTTTTAATTTATTTTGGTTGGGGCAGACTGCCATAGGCTTCAGTGGAAAAACTTGCAATAGTCACTTAATTTTATGATTTATAACAAAAATGAGAATTAGTAAGATTTCAGAGCTTTGTAGAAACTTCTCTATTGAATATAAGTAAGGACAACAATGATTGACAAAGACACTTATAGAAAGTAAATTAGAAAGTAATTTGACATTTAAGAAAGCTTGGAAGGGATATAGTGAAGCCTGGTCTGGTCTGTACCTGTCAGTTTGCTTGTTAGTCAGGTTTAATCTTTGTATTAGGATTGTTTGGTTTTATTTCTCCCAAATCAGATTAATTTGAGGCTATGTACAGTACAGTAAAACCTGTCTGATGGAACACCTTTAAGTTTAAGTTTATTCCAATTTTTAACATGTTACATACATATAATCATATACAATTTGACGCAAAGCGTATATTGTAGATGTAAGGAACATCCCTCTATAGGGAACAGTTTTGACCATGTATTTTAAAACAAATAGCAATATGTAAGGTCAAATGCCAAAAGTAAACAAGGCATTAACATGCCAAATTTCACCACCTACCATTTGTTACAGACACCAAACTCAGACTGATAAACACCAACCATAAGAAACTTAGAGACATAACGATATGTCACCACTTCTGGTGATGAAATAAAAACCAACATCTCAAAGAATGATCTTACTAACATAACATACAAGAATAATGTTCGTCTCATGTATCTAAGTGAAAGTTGGTTATCGATCTAGAAATTCCACGTTGCATAATTAATGGGTTGTTTATTGAGAGATTCTAAGTGGATACCTTTACTCTACACTTTGTTCCCATCTATCTTCATTAACCTGTCATTTTACATTGGGGTATTAACGGGTCATTTTGCACTAGGGGATGCGTCATTAGACTCTTCGATAATTAATTTGTTATTTTAGACTAGTATTGATTTGTCACTTTACATGGACACCATTATCATGGGATTTGCCCTATTATTCCAAACTTGAGGATGTACATTTGTGGAAATTAACCTGTCATTTTACACTGGGGGAATGATATTGTGGAAATTATCGTCATAGTTTATGTTGAGGGATGTGTCATTGTTGGAATTAACCTGTCATTTTAATTTTACACTATTGGTATGGTATTCTGGAAATTAGTCTGTCATATTTTATACCTGAGGATGTGTCACTTTTCAGAAGGGATGGGTCATTGTGTAAATTTGATAGTCTTTTTGATAGGTGACCTGTCATTGTGGGGATTAACTTGGCATTTCATACTGAGGGTGTGCTATTATGCTGTCATTTTACAATATTTCCTGTTTCTAAACTTACACCCAATATATTTCTTTAGAATTTAAAAATGTCATAATAATAAATAAATATTTTTATATAAATCATATAAATTATACAATATATTGTTGTTTCAGGGAGTTTCGGAGTTGGAGGATATGAATGAGACTGGTGAATTAAGAAAAATATTCAAACATTTTAACGTAAGTAGAAGACCACAGTCCCTGTGACCTCCCCCCTCCCACTACTCGACTACACACCTTCTCACACAGGGAAGGGGGGGGGGCACAAGGGCTCGTAGCTAGACTGTACACAGGTTAACTTGGCTCGATGTAGTGATCATGGGGATCTGAATTCTTTAAATAATTAACATACTCTTTGATTGACTCATATATTAACAGATGTTCAATGTATTCCAGTTAATATAGCAAAGGTATCTACATATTTAAACCAAGTATAAATATGAGTAAATTGTAAACATTTTTCTCAGAGCTAAAATATTTTAAACATAATTGGAATTTTGAACATGAACAAATCAAATTTCAAATCATGAATGGCTATCTTCATTAAATCAAATAGTATGTTCAATCAAATTCCAGATCATTAAAGGCATTTCATACTAACTTTAATCTATCAAAGAATATCTTCATTAAATGAAACAGTATGTTCATTCAATCAAACTCTGTCCATTCAAACTTAATAAAACAATGTTTTCAATCAATAAAGCAATATTCTCATTCAATCAAACAGCATCTTCATTCAATAAAGCAATATGCTCATTTAATCAAAACGTTTGTTCATTTAATCAAACAATATGTTCATTAGATCAAAATTCAATAAAGCAATGTGTTCATTCAATCAAACTATATATATTATTCAATGAAACAGTATGTACATTCAATCAAACTAAGTGCTCATTAAATCAATCCATAAATCAGTCAAGCGATATATTCAACAAATATACAATTTTTTCTTTCAGAGAGTAAGTCAGCGTACAAGCTGCGAAAGATGTGGCGGTTACCAATGGATACCATGTTCATCTTGTCACGGCAGTAAAAAGTCATTACATAGGAATCACTTCACGGAGGAATTCCATGCTCTTCGCTGTATAATATGTGACGAGAATGGGCTCGTACGTTGTGATGCTTGCATGGAACCAAAAGACAAGATCGAAGAGACAGAGGACGAATGAAAAATGATTGTTAAAATAACAGGTTGATATTCCAATTCTCTCTATGCTTAGAGATGACACTAGGATTTTTCAGATCCTATTGTATCTATCACTAAGGATGAGAAAAGAAAGGACGTATATCACTTAAAATGAGAAATGAAGGGCCATATGCCAATAAAGATGGAAAAGCACAGATAAAGAAGTGTATTTCTAAGGATGAGAAACGAAGAGACATTAGTCACAAAGGATGAGAAAATAATGGGTGTATATCTCTATAAATGAGAAAAGAAGGGATGTATATCACTCAAGATGAGAAAAGAAAGGGGGTATATTTCAGTCTAAGGATGAGAAGAGATGTGACTTACAACAATAGTGAGACATTAGATAAGACATCTGTAAGAGATGCTCATATATTCCTAGATGGTATTTCTACACTCCAGCTTTATTGACAATTAACAAACCTGTTTTGTGTTGTCTTTGTATACATTATTTAATGTCAGACATCCACAGACGTTTTTTTCTTAATTCTAATGTTAACTATCAAAGCAAAAAATCAAATTCCTAAATCTATGCAAACAGTTTGAAAATGATGTTTAGATTTTCATTGTATTTCTTTAATTTCTATTGTCTCAAATGCATCGATAAAGTAAAATGATTTGAAGTGTCCATGGATTTGTACAAATATAAAAATGTTTTTGTAAATCAATGTAAATAAACATTGAAAACGCATTGTAGTTATCATTAAACCATATGCAATGCTGTGCAAATATATATCATTAGCAATGCTACATGAATGTATATCATATGCAATGCTGTGCAAATCTATATCATTAGCAATGCTGCATGAATGTATATCATATGCACTGCTGTGCAAATATGTATCATTTGCAATGCTGCATGAATGTATATCATATGTAATGCTGTGCAAATATATATCCATTTGCAATGCTGCATGAATGTATATCATATGCTCTGCTGTGCATATATATATCATTTGCAATGCTGCATGAATGTATATCATATACAATGCTGTGCAAATATATATCATTTGCTATGCTGCATAAATGTATATCATATGCAATGCTGTGCAAATATATATCATTATCAATGCTGCATGAATGTATATCATATGCTCTGCTGTGCATATATACATCATTTGCAATGCTGCATGAATGTATATCATATGCAATGCTGTGCAAATATATATCATTAGCAATGCTGCATTAATGTATATCATATGCAATGCTGTGCAAATATATATCATTTGCAATGCTGCATGAATGGATATCATATGCAATGCTGTGTAAATATATATCATATGCACTACTGTGCATATATATATCATTTTCAATGCTGCATGAATTTATGTCATATGCAATGTTGTGCAGTTGCATACCATGTGCAATTCCTTGGTACACTATAGGCAATGCTGTGTAGAGTTGTACCATATGCAAAACTGTTCCATTGTAAACCATGTGCAGTGCTACATATGTAATGAAAAATTTCTAAATCAAATAATTGCAAGTCTTTAGTGTCAATATTTTGTGAATCCTTTGTTCAAAATGTGAAATGCGATGACATTTAGAATGTATGCTATTTTGCATTGTAAATGATATGCATTGCAATCAAAGTTGAAGTCATTGCTTTGTAAATCTAATGCATTGCCATGTAAATTATTGCAGTAAATAGACATGAAAGTATTATATTTTAAATACTAAAGCCTTTAATATCATGTTAAGACTTCAGATAGTGTACATGTATTTTTCTTGTTATGTCACTAATGGCAATTAAGAAGTAGAGCACATTTATAAAGCATTGACTGGGTCTACTTAACCTCACAATGAATCAAGGTATCACATACATATAATAATGCCACATGCAGTTCATATAGTGTCCACATCGATGGTGAGATCTTGTTCATGGGCATTATGAGAATTGAAGGTAATTGTGTTCTTGGAGGTTCCTAGTTTAACTTAGTATAGAGATTTCGCATACAGTGTTTTTAAGCCTCTTGTATCCATTATGACCGTTGATTTTGAAAAAGTTTGAGAATGTTTTCTATCAAAATATTACAAATATATGGGGTTAAATAACCATATGAATGCTTAATTGTAAGCCCACCCTAGTAAACACACTGTATGACCTTAAGTACATAGTAGTATAGTTTGCCTAGAATCTGGACATCTTGTCTTGTATTTGGTCTTGTATCTGGCCTTTATTGCCCCCTTGTCATCCCTTCCTTCCTCAACAAATGGAATAACTATAGCATCTCATTATCAGTGCATTGAGTAACCATATCATCCTCTCTGTGTCCGAGTTTAGGCATTTTCACTTGCGGTGATGAAACCAAATGATGCAAGGGTAATTCCTTATAAAAACTTATTTAAGCGAGTATGTCAGTGGGGGGGAGACAAGGAGTTGATGTAAGACTACATCTTATTTATAAGTAATTAATTTCATATTATAACCTGTATGTAAGTGTGTCAATTATTAATTGCTACATCGGTTAGGTTGCCATATGTCCATGTTATGTCATACTAGCAGATCAGATACTGGGGTACTGTAAAACATGTTTATTCATGAGGGCAATTTTGAATTGTGCAAAACAGAAATTTTCAGGACTTTATGTAATTATGGATTCACTATTTTACTTTTATAAAATGGCAATTTATGAGAGAATTATTAATTTGTTATATGTAAAAACCACAAAAAGAAACATAAGTAAAGTTTGAGGAAATTCTTACAGTAGCTCAGTTTTACAACAACTCCAAGTGACACAATTTAAACAGATGTTCCATGGAACCATTTATAGGAGCCAACACAGTAAAACCTGACTTATATGAAAAGAGCACTACTTTGGAGACCTTAAATTGTTCACATTTAGAGGTGTTCACATGGAGTGGTATTCACATTTAGATGTTCTAGGATCACTGAGAGTAAATGGGGCACTTTTAAATAGGACAGACCGTTTCCATTTTGCAAGGTGTTTATTTCCAGAAAGGTTTTCAAATAGTCGAGTTTTACTGTATATGGTTGTGTCATTTTGGGTATAATGATATCACAATGACATTGCAGACTTATGATTAATGTATCTCTACGATATTACAATGACATAACATACATATTTTAAAAGATAGCTCATAAAATCATGGTACCAGTGTTCAAATGTGTTTTACACTCCCCCTAGAAAGATTGGCAACTCCAAGTTCTCTTTCAGACCAGATAATACATGAATTCTTGGGACATTTTTCTATTTGAGGCAACATGTGATGGTATTTACATAGAGATCTACAAACCAGTGGCAGTTTGAATTATTTGTTACCCCTTTGGCTAGAATCAATGGTATAAGTGACAAAACTGCAATGAATATGAATGATTTTTGAAACAGTTTGATCATGTCACTTAACAGATCTCAAAGGTCTTAATATTATCTTCTTTTCTAAAAGTATTCCAATGAGAACAAATTATATTGTAAAATTATGATTTTGAAACTTCTAAATCATCTCTATCGCTTCTAATTCGTTGTAACCAAACTAAAAACATAACACAGTGTGTGCTCTTATATTTGTATATTTATGTACATTATGTATAGAAAAGTCACAAAGTATTTATTTGGAGCAAATAAAGTATTTTCAATATCAAAAACACATGTTTTGTTCATAAGTGTGAATAATGACATTAAACAATACATCTCTCCTTTACGTATTGTAGACCCCTAGAGAGGTGTAACAGTATACAATTGTAGACCTCTCTTGAGGTCAACTGGCAAAATTGTATACCGATACTGTAAACCTTGAAAGTACTGTTGACCGAGACAGGAGTATTATATCATGATAAACATGCTTAGATGAACTACATGCTGTTTTCAATTGAGGTACTAACAATACAAACTGTAAGCTAAATAATTGACTAAAAACCAAAACACAAACATTCAATTGGGATCACCATCAACTTATCTTTAAGCTTTTACTACAATATCATTAGAATTTGACCTTCACATTAAATATCAGACAAATTCCCATAATTAAAAAACAATTGTAACCATCACATTTTAACATCACATGATTAAGACCACATGTCTAAAAGATTCCCATAAAACACACCACACATGTAACATTCAAAATTTTAATTTCTCAAATTTTTAAATTCTCTTTTCTCACACATAATACTGACTCACAAATGTTATAATTTTTATAAATGAGGGCCATCTGTGATTTAGACAAACTATACACCCAGCTGTTGTATCAAAGACTCATTATAGGAGAACATGGTGGTAGGATAGCACAATTATAGTATTATAGTAAACCTGTAACTGTACAAGTGTTAATTTGATAAGTACTATTCAAAAAGTAATTTTACTTTTTACATCATGGTAACAGGAAGTGATATAACAAGCAAAATAAGTATTCCAGTGTTAAAATATTTTCCATGAATAATTTTGGTTAAAATTGCTCCTCGTCAACTTCCAATATATATATACACTGTAGTTGAATCAATACACTGTCCTTGTGTTTAAGTATATTATGAGAGTTGTCTTTACAGCGAATAAAGTATATTATATAAGGTTACTACAATATGGGGGGGGTTACTCTACAAATCTCGATTTAGTGAAAATTAATTTTTGTATGCTTTTATCAAATAGGCTAACCAATCAATTTCTTTTTTCTTGGTATCTTTTAAATGAATGTTATTCCATGTCTTAAATTGCCATTTAGACTTGTACATATTTATCAAAAAAAATACACATGTTTTTAATACATCATTGTGATTCCTTCAACATTAATGAGGTGTATGTAGCTTTATTGCTCATTCCAGGTACAAGTATAGGTACATCTGTGTTGGAAACTGTAGACATCTAATAAGTAGAGAGAAACATTACAATGATTACACCTGAGATTGTACTGTAGTGTTGAACAACAATATACACTTTCACAACCAACATGACATCTATTTGATTAGAACAAAACTCCCATCAGGTACAATATCTTTTAAGATTTATCAAAGGACTTCATTCTTTAGTATGAAACTCAAAAAGGCACTGTTTTAGTATTTTATAATAAAATAATTGTGCAAACATAAATCAATTCTACCCCTACATATTGATTAAGGAGATGTCTTCACATCAAGAATTACAGTAGAACTACATTGTATAAAATATCACTAAATGAAAGGCTAGATGAATTAATCTGTATGTTTAATGATCATTCATGCTTATTCTGTAGCTTCACGTTTCAGCATTTTATGTACTGATTTTAAATGCCTATTCAGGTCCTGCCTAAGCACAAAACTACTTGAGCACAACGTACATTGATGTGGTCGATCACCCAGATGAAACTTTTGGTGTCGTGTTAACTCAGACAATCGCTTGAATGTTTTTAAGCACAAATCACAAGTGAATTGATGATCTGGCTTCACTTTTGGTTTCTGAAATGATGAGATTGCTTCTTTTGATTGTGACATCATTGATTGTTCTGAAATTCTAGATTGTTCTAATATCATTGATTGGTTCAATGGTATATGTTGCTCAACCATGAGATTAAAAGTAGGATTCTCTAATTGTTCACCCTGTATGGGATATCCCTCTTGGACTGTTGATGTCTGCTCTGTTGAATTTGATTGTTCCAAAGAAGTTGATTGAGACACTGGGTTTGATTGTTCCATTTTTACCCTGGTATTTCCTAGTTGATCCATTAGCATGTCGTAACTATAGAGAACTTGGTCTGGAAATAAATTTCAAATAATTGCTTGGACATGTTTAACAAGGCATTAACATGCACAATGTCACCACCTGCCATTTGTTACAGACACTGAACTCCAAACGCCAAACACTGTCCACAAAAAGTTGGAGACTATAACAATATATCAGCACTTGTGGTGGTGACATACAAATGATGCTTCAGAAGAGGAAAGAGAATCTTTATAATGACTCAATGAGCCCCAGGTGAATCTATAGCTAGATATCAAAACAAGCGTGCCATTGGTCCAATTTTTGTATTTATGGAAACCCTGCATTTTCCTAATATCTTTGTCATTTTAAAAAAATACTCCCTGATATGTTGCAGCAATTAAAACAGAATTCTGAAATCTGTGCATTTGATCATTACATGGGATGTTTGGGTTTGTTGTCTGCAAATATGTTTGAACTTTTTTTGAAATTTGATCAACAAGCTCCACCTTATCACATTTTTATAAACAGTGTGTATAAAAACAAATAAATTGTAAAACCCTAAAACCATTGATGACTGCATTGATTTCCTTCATTGTACCATAAAGCCATGTTTCTTCTCTTTTCAACGATATGTCATTTATTTGCACATGGTTGGCTGGATGATTTTTCCTTTTGCACAATGGGCCAAAGTCGGCAAGGGACCAAGTTTTAGACTACAAAAAATGAGTGCACATGGCCACATGCACTATTGGAAGATGGTGTGGGGCATAAACTGTGAAGTGTTCAAACTCATGCAAAATTACACATCCCTCAAAGTGGCCACCATTTCTAAGCACTTAGAGATGTGCTCATCTATCTGAGTTATGCATGGCTCTTTGAGTCGTCTGTGGGTTCGGAGATCAACAACCCATTGGTGATTCTTTCTCTAAGTGTTGCAAGGGAGCGGAGGGTAGATAAAGGAAAAGCCATAAGTCAGATCAGGGGATCTTCCATTAGTACCCTGCCCATGCACTGACTTAAATTGCAATGTCTAAAAATTGGTCACAGGCTAATTTTGGCCAACTTTGCAAAAGGAATGATTATTCAGCCAACCATGACCACATCTGAATAAACTGCACATCATTGAATAATTAGATAAAGTGATTACTGTTTTTGTGGTTGTATGATTAATTGTTTGCTGCATTTTTTGGTAGGCACTGAATTTAACATTTAATTTCATATACACATAAATGTTCACTTTGTTTAAAATATTGTATTTAAGTCTAAAACTATACTAAAATCACACATATAATGTATGTTTGTACATCTTTATAATACAGGGTGTCCGGAAAGTAAAGATACAAATGCTCTTGTTTTAAGAGATTTGGGTCTTTTCAAATGAAACTGATACAGATTGTAGAGGAAAATTATTACAATATATCTACCAACTTTCATCACATATAGTCTTAACATGTTCAAGTTACAGTTGTTATGGTTACGGCTGTGAGGGGTATGCGGAGCAGTTCCAGAACATCGCTAAAATGTCAAAAATTGCTAAAATACAATAATCTGAAACAGCGTTTTTTTGTCGTATTTTCTATCAATGTTTTGCTAATTTTTGCTTGTTGTTTGTATTATTACTGCCATAGTTTTTTCTTTTATATAATGATGTCATTGTTACATATCAGAACTATTTTATTTCACTAACCAGTATAATCAAAAAAATATCATACAAGTGTTTAGAAAAAACAGCCTCTGGATTAAGTTGGAAAGTCAATATTGCATCTCCATAATACACCAATTCTCAAAGCAAAGAAAACAATTCTTACAATGGATTGTCTTGACATTAAACCTTTCTATACAATGCCCCATATTCACCTGATAGAGCCTTTTTTGACTTCTACCTCATGACCATCTGAAAGCAATATTTGTAAGAAGTTCAACATACAAAATGAGTCTCAGCTGGAAGTCAATGCTATAAGCAATTTGAGAGACGGACAGCAATGATTTTGTCAAGTCTTTGAATCGGCGGTCAAGATGCACCAAAAATGTTTAGATAATGGGGAAAATATTGAATATTCAATGATAATAGTTACATGAAGAGATCAAATAATGTTACGGTACCAATCCTTATGCTGTTGTTGTACATAATTTGATATAATATAGGAATAAATGGAAGAATGCCAAGTGAGCAGAAAAGAGATTTATAAAACACATTTGTGACGTTGCTCCACATACCCTTGACTCCCGTTACCATAACAACCATAACTTTTTCATTTTAAAACTAAAAGCCATGACCGTTGCAGGATATATTGCTATAATGTCATTCTACATTCTGGAGCTATTTCATCTCATAACATGTAAATCTCTTAAAATGAGAGCATTTGTATCTTTACTTTCCGGACACCCTGTATGCACAAGTGTTCATGATAACATCTGCTACTGTTTGTTGCAACCAAAACTAAACTTAATAGACAAGTACTGTAAAAGAATGAACGTTAAAAGACATTTCAAAAAGGTAGAACTTTTGATTAAAGATTAATATATCTTGTGGCTCTTACTGCACAGGGTGAAAAATACAAAATAGAGTGCATGAAGCAAAATGTACTAATGCAGTTCACATTGGAAAATTAACTTGATATTTAGTAATATTTAGTATCTTCACTAAAAAATTGAAAGCTTACTTAAATAATAAGTTACATTTCAATGTGTTACACATTGGAAAAATAACAATGGCTATCTGTACTAAAAAAAAGTTGGAACCAAAATATCTAAAGCTGACAAAATACAAAATTACATATTTTTAATTTTTTTCAAAATAATGAGTAATATCAGAGTGTTGACCAGTTGATGTGTCATAACATAAGGAATTATTCAATTCAGTCTCTTATGTATTCTTCAAACTCTGATTTTTCATAATTCATGAGAATCCATAATTCAATTGTTAATTACAATTATGTGGTACAAATTTGCCCAGTTTGGTTTTCATCATTTATCTTTATTCTTGTATTTTCTTCTCATGTCGCTTCTTTTTTGACTTGTTGTCTTTTCAATTTTGGTAAGGTCCGTGTTGTAATTTTTTTCCATGTAGTCTGCAATTACACAATTCTTCAAACTATATTAACATAACAATCAAACAGAGTGTTAAATTACATAAATAAAGAGATCAATTAAAAAAATAATTCTTTTGAACATTCTACTTTTAAAGCTAACTAAATAGAAAAGGGGGTCTGTAGATACCTCTAATAAGACTCATTCTGACCCCAAGGTCATCTAAGTTCCATTTTCCTCTGCTCCGTCTGGCATGTGTGTTCAACAGTTCTTTTTCACTAAACATCACATCAAGGAGGTAACAAACCGCATATCCTTCTCCATTCTTCATAACTTTTTCTGATACTACTTTCTTTACGGCATCTGGAACTTCCTTTTAAAAAGGTGTAAAAATCAAAATATGTGTGAAATTAAATCAAGTTTGATGACTAGTTTGGACTGAGGCAAATAATTGAATTTTAATATGAATTTTAAATGAATGAGTATTCAGCAAAGAATTTGTATCGATATGGTCTTCATTGGAATAAAATGACATATACACACAACATAATTAGGTCTCTCAATATTGTAATTGTACAAATGAAAGTTAGGTTCATTTAAAAAAGTATCTTGTTAATGAAATAAAAGGTTTACTTTAATTTTTATCTCTTTTGGGTTTTAATTTTTTGAATACTTTTTGTTAAATGAACCAACATTTCCTTTTTATAACTATACTATATTGAGAGGTCTAAGAAAATGTTGTATCTGCTATTTTGTTTCGGAAAGATCTTTTATTTCATTCTCAATGGTTCTCATTGGTAGAAAGGAACAAAAAGCAACTGCACTAAAAAACAAACATTGTTCACAAAAACAGTAATATAAAAAATATATATGAATAATTTTCGCATTAAATTGTTGTCAATCAGTGACCATTACATAAAGGACATCAGCATTTATATACATAATGTTTTCAATACTTGGTTTGAGAGAAAAACAATCTTGAATTCAGTTCGCCATATCGATTCCAATCCTTTCCACAGTGCTAAGTCGAAAGTAGCATACTTATTTTCTTTTCAAAGCATGGACGTACTTACTGTTATTTGAGCCTTTCTTATTTCATTGAAGGTAACTGGTCTCAGGTTTTCTGGGACTTGTTGTTTTTCTGAGCTGCCTACAATCACAACCCAAGCATGTCTTAATAACTGAGGGAGAAGCAAAATCAAGGTGCTCATCGATATTGACTACTGGAGTTCATCAGCAGTATTCTAATTTTGGGATATCGGGCAATCATATTTCCACATTGGTGATGCCCATGTCATTGAATATCTTGTGTTTTTAGTTGACATTGCTGCGTGGTGTTGAGAAATCGTTACATAAGTGACAAGCATAATACACATAGTGACACTGGAGGTGGAGCAGAGTATAGTGGCATTACTATGCATGTATATTAATTGTTTTTTAAAAATGATGTGAACCAGACAACAGAAATATCCCTGAAATTTTAAGTTGGATCCACCAAATGATTTGGCTGGAAACCTGAAGATAAGCCTTGACAAACAAAATATTAGGACTGAAAATTCAAAATGGTTACCTTAGCATTTACCCAGAATGCCCAAAAACTATTCAGTTCGAAACATTCATACGAAGAAACATCCCTGAAAATTTCAGATGAATCCATGAAACGGTAGGTAAAAAGAAAAAAATAATCATTGAAACATGTTACTCACACACTCGCTCAAATATGACACAAAGCTTGATTTTCTTTTATATTGAACCAAGAAAAAAATAGCTCACATAGAAAAGAGCATTTGAAGTTCAGAGATCATTAGTGGTGCATGCTCATGCTAAGCAAAGTGCATGTTTTAAATTACTCTTGATTTAAAAGATGGCGACACTTCTGTAGAAATGAATGTATCATATTATATAAACAACTGCGCCATCATTCAATGACATTGATAAAAACTTGATATACATGTATAAAGCTTGACAGATCGAAAATATTTTTTGATAATTTATTGTAAGCTTTGATGTGCTCCGTTTGAGCTGTTGTTGGTGTCAAATGAAAGATAAGGCTCTTATCAATACATTGGACATACTATGATATTCAAATATAAGTCTTTATATTGGCCAAAAACGTTGAAAATACACAAAGTGAGCCTTTAAAGAATGTAAGACTGATTTGTAATGCAGATTATCAACAACCTAGTGTACCATTATTTAGGGAAATGAAAATCTTAACAATTTTTGACATTCACAGGTTAGAGAAATCAAAATTTATGTATAATTGTGTCAAGGAACCATCAAATTTTCCTGCTTATCTTTTCAAAAACTACTTTACATACATGCACAATCATAATGTTGGTAATCGTACTACAAGACAGTTTCATAATATACGCCCCAGCAAAATAAAAACTGAATTGACAAAAATATCAGTGACATATTCTGGTGCTATTTTATGGAATTCTTTGCCAATTGTATTTCGAACATGTAAAACTTTGAATTCTTTTAAACACAACATTAAAAAGGACCTTTTGGAAAAGATGAATGGAAATACTATATAAGATCACATTCCATTTAAATTAATTGTTTATATCTAGACTTCAAAGTTTCTGTATTGCATCTAAACAATTTAGATAATGTATGTTATACTGTTATATATTATATGTTTTGTGATTGCTCTGCAATAATTTTTGATATATGCACTGATACGCCCAATTACTAAGGGTGTCGAGTGCACATGCTTTGTACATTCCATTGTTATATTATCATGAAATAAAAAAACTAAAAAAAAACTAAATAAAAACAAACAAAAAAACTATCACATCACTTAACCTGTCAGAAATCCTTAAAGGTGCACCCATAAAATTGCATATTTTCAATTCATGGACTACTGATTTTTACTTTTAATCCGTATCATGCCACAAAAAAAGTTATACATGTATCTTCAAAAATACTTTTATTTCTAAACATTTAAAATTATAACTACAATCTACTACATGCACATATCTATTCAAAAATAACATGTTTTATGACATCACAGATGTAACTGTTTCAGCTTCTATCAATACCATTTATATAGGGATATAAACCAAAGGTGGTAATAGTTTGACTCATAAAACTGCCTTTCATTCAAAAATGCAAAAATGGAAAATTCCAAACACGGATATATTCATCTAATATCTGTATAACATTAGTTGAGAACAATTCAGACACCATTAATAGCATAATGTGATCCTGTATTCATCTGAACAATTTTCATGAAAATTATAATGTTTTGAAGACATTAAACTTTGGTTTACAATGACTAAAACTATAATCTAAACATTTGCTGATATAGATCTTTACATCTAAAAATATCTATCCATAAAATGTCACATTTGATGTATGCCAACTAAATGGTGGCCGTATATTCCCAAAATCCAGAGAAATATGCAGTATAAAATCTAGGGATAGATTTTCAGTATTGATTTTGTGAAGCTACAGCTTCAGCTAGTCACCATAAAGCAAATGTGATTGAGGCTTTACACAGAGCTTGCTACACATATGATATAACTACAGGGTGGGCCAAAAAAATGCCACTTTTTTTTCAAGACACTACAACTTTTTTATTTTCCAACCTACATACCCCAAATTTTGCAGTTATATAGTGCCAAGGGTTCTTAGTAATAATATAATGTAACGAGTCCTTCAACTGGGATTATATTTGATCTAAAAAGAGGAGTTCAATTGGTCCGCCACTCCATTTGATGATAGATTTTAGTTTTAGTCGCCTTGCTGATATAGCAGTATCAATGAAATGTTAGCTATATTTCAATGTGTCTTAATTGCCAGCTTTAGTAAAGCAATTTTTTAGATCGGGTGCATTCATACCATCTCCTGGAGACCTCCCCATGCCCTATACTCACTTGGGTTTGAATAAAGGCTATTAGCTTGCGGTCATCAGGGCATATCAGTTTAGGAACATTATGCAAATTATGCTTATTTCTCATGGCACAACACATGTTTAAGTGAGACGCTGGTGACATATTTTATTCAAGTAAAAGTGTATAATTCATGATCAATGGCTAGATAACAACCTCAAGTTTCATTTGGTATGTGAATTATGATTTTGTATCAAAAATTAAAAAAGTTATAGCATTTTGAAAAAAGTGGCGTTTTTTGGCCTACCCTGTATATAGCATATATTTCTTGACTACATTTTGTTCCACTGTTAGTACTACTAATATACTTAAACAATTATTTCTTATATTAATACCATATTGTATATTAATATCATAGTCTACACAGAAACTACAATATATTGATGAAGCTATATAATATCAAAACTGTTACATTATGTTCAATGTTCATTCTATCATGAACAATCAAAAAAGGAAATACTTTTGGACAAGTATGTCTCATTAATGGGACATCTGTGGCCTGTTTGACCTATCAAATTTTACTAGTTTCTTATTTAGCTCAATCTTTAAGAATCTTAGTAAGGATCATTATTGAGAAAGTGTATCAGAAACTATTGAGCCTTCTATGTGATATTTTGGGTCATAAACAGTGATAGTCTGAGGTAGGACTCCTTGGATGGGTCTCATGCATCTGGTTGAATGCATAGATTCTAAAGAAAATATTTCAATTTAAGGCAGTTCTGTTTTTTGGTCACCCTGCATATGTTTCAATGCCATTATCATTGAATGTCCACATATCTCTTATCTGGTTAAGGGTGTTTTCACGGGGTACTTTTGTCTGATGTCATTAAGGGGTTGCGTTTCCGATTTTGAGTGTCCCTCAATTTCTTTCCTATTTCTGCCCTAACTGCACCCTCTGAACACTTGAACCTTTCAACAACGAAATCTGAAAATACATACAAAAAAATTTGCATAAAAAGATTTCCAAAGTAAGATCCCATTTTTGTAAAAGAAGTTTTTTTTGGTAAATGAGGTACACTTGTAAGGCCTATTGTATATGTATAAAACAACAGCAAAGCAAACTATTTTTGGGTAAACTCATACCAGAAACAGAGCTATGCAATTCTAAAATTATAGAGATGATTAGCATGATTATTATTTACAACTTCGAAAGCTTTGAAAACCTTTGAAAACAAGAAGGAGTGATTTATAAAATACACTCACCTATAATGGAACTAAGACGAACTGGATCTAAGGTTCCCACTATAGTTTTTGCACCACTCTGTTTCCTTCCAGAAATATTCATGAAGGTCAGCTCTCTTTGGGTAAACATCCCCTTCATCAATGCTCTTGTGGTCTTAGGCATAGAATGCCCTTGCTCCATGTAAAGGGCAGTTTTCACTAAGGACTTGGGTATTGACTAAAAGACAACACAATGTGCATATTATATATCATCATAAACCTACCAAACTGTTTTAATTTATTTTCAGTTAAGACATAAGGTTCTAAGAGTCTCTGGAACCTGGTTGAGTGTTGAGTGCATTGTAAGAATGATATTTATTCATGCATTAAATGTTGGTATACATCAATGTGATCTTACTGTTCTCAGCATTATGTTCCTTTCAGACTCTGTTCTTGGCTGCACACAAGGATCCATCTGTGTTATATCTAAGGCTTGATTTGTAGTGGAATTGTTGGTTTCATCGTGGAGAACTCCATCTATTCGTCTCACCATTTGATCTTATGTGATGACAAAAAAACAAAAATAGTACCATGGGTTTGTGCATTTTTTTATTATCTTTTATTAGTAAAATGAACAGAATGAAGTTCATAGAGTTTATTAAGATTTTCAGCTCAGATTCCAATGGTCGTTTTAGGTTCCAGCAGATCTCATTATCAGCATGATACAACATTTGACACATGAAATTAAGTGAGATTATGTTCTTTACTACTGTACTGTATACCAGGTTACAATATTTCAAATCATAAGAACATGTTTACATTAAGGAAAATAACGCATCTAAGAGTGCACCAGTCATAAGGAAAAACCCAACTATCCAAAACCGTGATGAAACATGATAAGAAACAAAGGAAATACCCCCTACCCCACCATTCAAGTATCAATATCACAATCTGAGATCCATAAAACCAAGAAACATATCATTCATATATGATTATCGCAATCCATAATCATAACACCAAGGGAACTGTAAATAAAAAATTTAAATTGATATAAACAAATACTCATATCGTCAAAAAGAAGTTGAATTCTGTTTTACGCATATAAGATAGATCATTCAGTCTTAAATGATGTGGGATAGAGAAAATTTAGTCTTAGAGTGCATAGGCGTTTCAAAGAGTTTACATCCATAATATAATATGATCTTATACAGGAAATGTGCTTTTGATATTGATGACAAATACAACCCTGATTTTATATTACGTTTTATGTTGATATATTATTCTCATTTTTTCTATCACATATGTTTCATTATACAGGGCCCAAAAATACAACCCAGCATTTCTTGAATAACTTTTAGATATCTAAATTATTTTTCATTTACAGATTGTTCATTTAGTGTGGGATAATGTCGTACTTTTATTTTGGAACAGCCATAACTCATTATCGAAAATCATTATCAAAACTTTGCTAGAGGATCCAACATTGACTGAAGTTTTTGTGAGCCAAAAAAAAACTTCATTTGAGGAAACTATTAAAGAAATGGAGGTTTGCATTTTTTGAATTGCCAAATCTTTATTTGAATACATGTCTTCTTTTTTGTTAATCTATGTATTGTGTTATATTTCTTTGTTCCATCTTCATTGGTTTCAATAATGTTAGATTTATATACATAACATACAAGTCCCAAGAAAGTGAACTGTTTTTGACAAGTATTTTCTCAGCAATGGATTACTTGTGTCTAATGGTATCATTAGTAGATGATAAAAATATGTAAGAGATCGGTTACATATTATAGGAGTATTGGTAAATTCAAAAATGAAAGTCTAAAAATCTAATATCAGATATGTGCAGTGAGACATTCATAGCGTTTGTGCCAGCTATCAGGTGATAGCATCTGTCAATCAATTTAAGTCTCAAAATACCTTGTCTGTGTGTCAGGTCTAAAATTTAATAATGTTCAAATTAGTGTCAACTATTGTTGAAATACAGTAGAAATAGGTTCAGATAATTCCTGAAGGTAAGCTTTGATGTCAATCATAATCAACCAGTTACAGTGAATTTTAGACCAAAATAGAATATCATTCTTTTGCAGTGGTCAATAACCCTTATTACGCTAATTATAATTTGAAAATGAACAAGTGTATAATTAAGTTTATACATGTACTTTATTTACAATAAAAAGTGTTCATAACCTACAGACATATTCCCAGTCAAGTATTTCCAATATTCCATCAATGTCATGTGGGATGATTTTTGGCATTGTCCGTTACATTGTTCTGGTTGCGAATTAAAATATTGTTCATAATGTACTAAAAATATTTACTGTGATGTATTTCCAATATTCCATAGAAGACTTTTGTGATTATTTTTGACATTGTCCGTACATGGTTCTAGTTGTGAATTAAAATATTGTTCATAATGTACTAAAAATATTTACTGTTATGTATTTCCAATATTCTATATATGACAAATGTGATAAATTTTGACATGACTGTCTTTTACAAGGATTTCTGGTGACAAATTGGTTGACAATTAACTGTTGATGCCGTGGCCATTTTTCTGTCGTTGGAGCAATTTATATACCTGAAAATAAATTTAAAAAAAACACACACTTTAATACAAAATATCAATCACTAAAAAGAACAAGGCATTTGCATAACAAAATGTCACCACCTACTTGCACAAAATAAATCGAAGCTCAGATTTGAGCAACTGAGACTTTGTAGATGATATTGAAAAAGATGATCAATCAGTTGAGCAACGTGTGTATGTGGAGGAATATATAAGCGCAAATGCCAAAGGGAAAAGGGGTAGGGAAGTCAGTTGTCCTCTGGTGTGTTTGAGCATTAACATCAGCTGCCTCTTGTCAGAGCGACTAACAAAACAACCTTTTTTGGGGTTGTCCAGTTGGCTGAGAGGGCTTGAGCGCCAGCACGTTCAGGCTAGGCGATTGGGCACTGTAACCACGAGGTTGCGAGGTCGAGACGCATGTGCTTGTGTTTATTTCATCTATATGCCCTTCAAACTTTGATCAGTGGGATTACAAGGCCCAAAGTTGGCAATATCATACTTGAAATACAGCACTTGTGGCTTTTTTCAGAAACATTTTACTGCAAATGTATTGCTTAATATATTGCTTTGTTAACTTTAGTTTTTCAACATTGCACAGAGTGAACAATATTCTTTCTAAAATACAATGTGGGCTATGTTGAGCACACAGGTTTAAAGGCAATCTGATCATTATATTTCAAGGTAGTATTCAACTTGTAACAATGTGCAATAATTTTAAATAAATTTTCCGAGAATCTAAGGTAATGATACATATATGAATACACACCTCTCTATTCCTTGTGCTCAGCACTGCATTTATCTGTGCTCTTTTCATCCCTCTGTTTAAGATCAGGTAATCTGAAATGTAAGGGGAATAAATGCTTGCAGCCAAAGGCCATATTTAAAGATTAAACCTTTTTCATATGATTTGCTACTTGACGGGGTTGGTGTGTCCTTTGTCAATTTTACATATAGACTGCTTTTTGATTTGGTGGACACAAGAGCTGGTATAAATCTCAGTAGAAACCACAAATCCACAGTATCAATAGCAAATCAACTTACCAAATATCAAGTTATGTCTGATCCCAATAGAAGATGTCTTTCCTATGATTAACTTAGCTGCATCAGTTGACTTCCCACTTGGAGTTGTATATGCAAGTTCCCTTTTTGTCATCATACTGTTTATGAGTGTCCTTGCAGCCTTAGTATCTTCAGGTATTCCCTCGATCTCAGATTTTAGGCTCTTGGGTATGGCCTGCATAGAAGAGAAAAAATATATAAAAAGCATACTTTGTTAAAGGCCTTATGCAAAGTTTGAAAATATGCTCTTTCACTCATGTATTTTTGTAAACTTTATTCAGTGTGATACCATTTAAGATTACTTCATAAAGCTCAAAAGATGTGTGTGGTCCTTGTGATAAATCTAAACATACAATTTCTTGTGGTGCTCAACTCTCTAATTTATCTTAATGTTGTTCTCTCAAATGTGAAATTTTACCTTCAGTCCTATAATAACCTTTTCTTCATCAGTTGCTGGTAACAAGGCCTTATTATATGGTCTTGTGTCACAAGAGATATCAACTGAAAAGAGAACATACTAAAAACGACATGCTGATTTAATACCTCTTGCTTTTGCCGTGCCTTTCGGGTACAGGCAATTGTGATTGTTGATTCTAAGTAAAGGAACATGATAAAGCACTTTATTTGATAATTGTCTATGTTATCTGTCACAAATACATTCTTAAAATAAGTAGATTTAAGTCTTAGAGTGTGAAATAAAATAAGTCTCTTTTTGTTAAGTTAGATTACAAAGTCTAATTCTGTAAAGTTTATTCTGTCATCTTTGTACATGTCTCACTAGTCCTGGTTATAAAAAAATGGATGAACTTCCATCGGAGGAAATTTTATTTTTGTCAATTCACCAAGAAGAAGGAGGTTGTTTTTTATCCAAATATGTTATCCTTACATTAATAGTAGCAATAAAGGAATTAAGGACATGAGTCATGTAACTGTAAATTAGGCTTCTGAACAAAAATACATCCAACTTGCATTTAAGAATGGCAAAATTATGTCATGGGAGTTGGTTTCGAAGGAAAAAATACATGAACACAAAAGTAATTTTGCTTTGAAAAACAGTTTCTTTCAGATTGAAGTGACTTTTCCATTGATATTGGATATTTTGGGATGCTGTTTTTAATTTTACAATACTTGCATTATACGAAACCCATCTCTTTCATATTTATAGCAGTTGCTATCTATTGATGAGAAAATACCTGTCAAAAAGCGTTTCACTTTTTTGGAAAACCTGATATATAATGTAAAATTAAAACTGAATAAATATAGTTTAAAAACTGGATAATTCATCAACTACTTCTATCAATGACACTTTAAAATTTACTCTTATCTTATATAAATGAAGCTTCAATAGAAAAGTTGCTATATTTTGTTCAATTTAATGATTTCAATCTCCAATATTCAATCACGATCATTGTATTTCTGTCAATAGCTGTAGCTGTTCTGCTTTTTTGTGAGCTTTGCTCTCCTGATGGGACTGAACAGAATGTATTTTCAGTGTTTTACATCCATCTAAATATGTTCTTTGCTTAGCCAATGGCAAGACGTGAGCTTCAAATTTAATGCAATAAGAGCACTTCATAACTTTCATGTCATCATCATACTGGAGCCATGGTCTGTCTATTTTCCAGTAATTTTGGAATGTCCGATTCTTCCCTGCGGAACCCTTGGGTGGTTGAGCCTTTGTCTGGTCAATCTCAGGATGTTCTGAATAGAAACAAGGATTCAAATATTTCAAAATACTATCACAATCACTGGATTTCTGACAATAATTTAATCTGCATCTGTTCTGCACTTTTATGAGCTTTGCTCTTCTCATGGCATTGAAGAGATTCTAATTTCATTGTTTTGCACCCTTTAATAAATCTTTTTGTCTTGAGCAATTTCTTGATTTGAGCCTCAAATTTTATGCAATAGGTGCATTTCATAACATTCATAGGCGGGTCATACTGGAGCCATGGTCTGTCTACTTTCCAGGAAACTTTGAATTTCCGTATAGGGGCCTGAGCTGGGTAAGCCTTGATTGGATGAGCCATTGTCTGGTCAATCTCAGGATGTTCTGAATATATACAAGTACGAGCTCATATTAAAGAAAAAATATACTCCCCAAGAGCCATAAAATCATCTACTTTTGAGGTCATTAGGTCTTATCAGACCAAATAATGAAATCATTTTTGGTACTCAGAGAGTAAAAAGGTGCTTGGAGTGTATGTAGCAGTTATTCGTTTTTACAATTCTTTAATTTAAGTAGAAAATGAGATAAAAAACTAAACATTATCAAAGCAAACTTGATAACAACAGCAACTCCTCGGAGTCCCAAATCTGAATGAACAATATTCATTATCTGTATATGCCACAACATTGTATTTACCATCTACTCTTTGATTTGCAGATAATAAAAGACATTGGAATATATTAGAATTTCCACCAATTTAAGCATTTGGGTAATCAATAAGGAGTATTAAAGGCACAAATTATAAAGACAATACAATATTTATGATCTAATGTAGAAAAGTATTTTCATATATATATGTAGTACTGTTAGTCAACTTAATTTGGCGTGATTTAATTTGGCGAATTGGGCAAAACTAGAAAATTGGTGAAGATTTAATTTGGCGAATTTAGTTGCCTAAGGATAAATATCTGTAAAATTGGTGAATTTGACAGACGTGAGCCAGAGTTCTGAATTAACGGCAATCATTAAAATAAGCAAGGTGGATAAAATTGAAAAAAGGAAGTTAATGTATGAAATAAAATTGAAGCAACATGCATTTAATACTCCATTTCATTCAGAAATTCTTGGAATAATAAAATCAATCACTTACATATTTACACAGAAACAGAAATTGGGGTAGAGCAGACAAACACAGAAATCATGTCAAATAGATTTATTTAATGGATAAACAAAACTTTAAATAGTAATACTCATTACTTTGGTTAGAAATGAAAAAAAATATTTTTGCTAATAATTCATGCAATTTTCAAACTGGCAGCCTTCTTGAACAAGGCAATGCCCAAAAACTAATCAGTTCTTGACGTTGATATGTAGAAACATCCCTGAAAATTTCAGATGAATCCCTCAAATGGTTTGGCTGGAAACCTGTAGACAAGTCTTGAAAGTGAAGATTTTAGGACGGAAAATCCAAAATTGCCACCTTAAGATTTACCCAGAATGCCCAAAAACTAATCAGTTCTTGACGTTGATATGTAGAAACATCCCTGAAAATTTCAGATGAATCCCTCAAATGGTTTGGCTGGAAACCTGTAGACAAGTCTTGAAAGTGAAGATTTTAGGACGGAAATCCAAAATGGCCACCTTAAGATTTACCCAGAATGCCCAAAAACTTATCAGTTCTTGACGTTGATATGTAGAAACATTCCTGAAAATTTCAGATGAATCCCTCAAATGGTTTGGCTGGAAACCTGTAGACAAGCTGAAAAGTGAGACGCCGCCCACCCGCCAAGCTGACTACAATATCGTACCTTTTGTTAGGTATGATAAAAAACATTTTTGCATTAAACTATTTAACACAGTACTGGCCGTGATTCCAGGGTGTGGATGATGTTGAACAAGACTTGCAAAATTCAAGTTTATACCACTAAAATATAGTCCAGGTGAATCTCCTCAAGGCTATTTTTTCAGTTATGCCACACCTGGTCCTTTTGATGTTATGACAAAATAGAACAGCAACAATAATGATATTATATGTTCTACTTTTACTAATATCTTCTATATGTTTTATTTTACAGAACTAAAATGACAAACAGTGTCAGATAATTACTATAAAATGGAATTCTTTGCTATTTTCTTGCTAATACCTGGTGTGAAAAATTCAGTCTACCCGTGTCGTATTCTTCGAACCCATCTCAATATCTAATTACATAAATCTTGAGAAGATCTCGAGCAGATCTATTATCTCTTCTGGATGTTACTCATAACTTAAGTAGAAGGGTAACTCATTTTGTAAGCAATTCTGATGACCAAGCTGCAAATTTTGTTCCGCTTTGCCGTTGATTTCAATCTCTATCACAATCAATGGATCTCTGACAATATTTGCAGCTGTTCTGCACTCTTGTGAGCTTTGCTCTCCTGGTGGGACAGAACAGAATCTAATTTCATTGTCGTACACCCTTTCATGAATGTTCTTCGCTTAACCAGACTCTTGATTTGAGTCTCAAATTTAATGCAATAGGTGCATTTCATAACATTCATAGCCGAGTCATACTGGAGCCATGGTCTGTCTACTTTCCAGGAATCTTTGAATTTCCGTACAGTTTGAGTCGTTGTTGGGCAAGCTTTGGGTGGCTGAGCCCTTGTCTTGTCAATCTCAGCAAGTTCTGAATATATACAAAGATTCAAGGATGTCAAGATTCATTTAGTCATCATTCACTATTGTTCTAACTCATGATCACCAAAATAGTCATATAATCCATTCAATATTCAGTTAGTGCTGGAATTATGGCTGAAAAGTCGCTGATGAAAATTAAAAGAAACAGATGAGTTTATTTAAATCCATAAACATGTATGCACAAGTTCCAAACTTAAAGTTTATAAAACTAATAAAACAAACTTGTAAAACTTAAAAAATAATAATTTGTTGAGTAATTTAATGTCATCAAATGATTTCAAAATATCATCAGAATCACTGGATTTCAGACAATATTTTAATCTGTTCTGCTCTCTTATGAGCTTTACTCTTCTGGTGAGACTGAATAGAGTCTACTTTCATTGATTTACACCCTTCTATAAATCTTTTTGCCTTTAGCAATTTTTTGATTTGATCCTCAAATTTAATGCAATAGGTGCATTTCATAGCATTCATAGCCGAGTCATACTGGAGCCATGGTCTGTCTACTTTCCAGGAATCTAAGAATTTCCGTACAGTTTGAGTCGTTTTTTGCAAGCTTTGGGTGGTTTAGCCTTTGTCTGGTCAATCTCAGCATTTTCTGAATAAATATAAGGATTTCAGGATTCAGATGATGTTGTATCAGGTCATTCATCAAAAGATTCGCAGGATTCAAGTTCATCCTTTCATTATGGAATCAATTGGGAATGTCTGGTTTCATATTATTTTCATCTAATTTTATTTTCCAATTACATATTTTATCAATGGACTCATTTGTATAGGGATTTATGCTTCTGTGTTCAAGAAAGAACTATGTTCTTCATACTTTGGAAAATCGTAGAATTCTTTAAGATTACATTTTTTCTTTACAAGTAATGATCATTTTGATAAGGAGTTTTAAAAACAGAACTTATTGGAAGAGGTCCCTGTTGTAGCTAAACTTTTTTATTCTAGTATCTCCGAATCGTTTTCTTGCCTCAATATTAAACATGAGGTTACAGGACAAGTTAGAGTACAACTAGGTAACAGCAACGCCAAAGCGTAGCAAATCCCAACAAACAGCCATGGCTGCCATTTTCTAAAATGGCCCCCTATTAGTCAAATCAATGGTCCCCTATTTGTCACAAGACAATGTATAGAAATATGCTTCTACGTATTCACATGTGAAACATGAACATAATCGCTCCACTACTTTTACAGTTATAGCAAAAAATAACACACATAAAAATGCCGGTTACTGGCCCAAAGTGTTATTGGAAAGTATAATATTGCTAAAATCTAAGTATTCACATATCAAATTTTGACAAAATCGTTCTACTACTTTTCCAGTTATAGCAACACCATAAAATTACACCCTAAAAATGGCCACCATTTTTCAAAGTGGCCGTTCACTAGCCAACACTGTCAAAGGAATATGGTAACATGGTTCTAACTATTCACAAAAAAAAAGGTTAAACAAAAAAATGATCCACCGCTTTTGCATTTGTAGCAAAAAAACATAAAATAATACGGCTGCTATTTTCCAATTTCATAAGTTTGTAGTGAAATAAAATTTCAACAAAATGGCTCCACTACTTTTTGAGTTATAGAAAAAATGTAGACACCCCTTCCATATCATCATTCCATGGATTTGAACATATTACTACGAAATAACTGATCATTTCAGTAAAAATGGTGACCTTACTCTACGGAAATGGAGATAATGTTTCACAGCCAGTTTGGCATGCAATACTACAGCACCTAGTCTCTAGGGAATTGATTGTACTTTGCACAAAAAAAAACAATTATAAACCTGGGGATAGAATAGTTAAAAAAGCCTTAGCGAAGTAACCTCCTTTATTTACAGTTGACAAAATGTAGAAAAATAGAGAAAAACATTTTAAAACGTTGATTATTGGAACCAATTTCACTTGTCGGCTTTGGGTATTTTAGTTGTATACGAACTGAGCAGGTCAGTGCTATTCGTTATAACCTCATACATGTTTATGCTTACCAAAGGTGTTCTACTAAGACAAGTTTTATTGTATCCAAGATATTGAACTCACTTGTAAAACAGATAAACATCCTTTAGAGCAGCTAGCACATTATCCAAATAGGGATTCTTGAAACTGCATTTATTTGCCAATTCAATCCAATATGCCACACAGTGAAATGCAGTAACCCATGTTTCAATCTTGTATATACACATTAATTCTCTCCTCAGGTAACTCAAACACCATCAGCTCCCAGTCCAAGTCATGAATGCCAGGGGTTAACATTAACAGCAGGCAACAGGCGATTTTCACCGGTTATTTTCACAAAATTGCCTATTGTTTTCAGGGACTTTTCAACCTTTTCCATGTTAAATTTATAATTTCCATTAATTTCGTCTGTTGTTCTCATTTATTTAGCCTATTTTGAGTGATTCTAGTGAAACCCCTGAATGTCATCTGCTTTGTCATCCTTACAGTTTCTAACTATATAAAACCTACCACCGGATAATGGTCCTTTATGAATCTGAGCATAATTAGTTCTTGTTCAGCTTTAGTTTCATCATTTGATCATCAATTAGAAAATGGTGACTGAGAAATGTCTGCACTCAGTTTATCCCAGAATGCCTCAGCAATGTTCTCAAGGAAGTTGACATGCTTTACCATTGTGATATTTGTCACCTAAGTTTTCACTATTTTTCATGCTATCTTCACTCATGTCAACAAAATCAGAAAAAACATTCCTTTCTTGGATTGTTATACCAATCAAATAGGTTTCTACATTTTAAAAAATTCCTTACCAGCCTTTTTAGGGGATTTCTAATTCAATTGTCCTTCAGGCATTCAGGGCAATTTGCTTCAGCAATTTTTTCTGCAATGTTCACTACTACTCTATGGGCATCTGATTTGACATGCTTTAACACCATTTTTCATGCTATCTTCACTAATGTTAGCAAAATCAGAAAAGGAACATTACTTTCTTGCATTGTTAAATTTTCAATCAAATAGTTTCTACATTTTAAGAAATTCCTCATTAGTCATTTAGAGATTCCTGGTTCAATTGTCCCTTGGGGGAATTCGCTTCAGCACTTTTTTCTTCCATGTTCACTGCTACTCTATGGGCCTCTGATTTGACATGTTTCTTTGCACTGTATTTAGTGACGTTACTGCTCCCTTTTACATAAGCAAAGGTTTTGTTGGAAGAGTATTTCCTGCATACAGTACACCAGATAGTATCAACATGCATACCATCTTTAGAACTATAGTCCAAATACTGGTATTTCCAATTTTTAAATGTGTGAATATTTACAGTGAGTTGTAAATTGTCAACTGTTGCTGTTGCTGTTTTAGTTTTTTTCTTTTTGAGGTGAGGGTTTTCTTGATCATCATTATCTTTAATCATGCAATCTGTTGTTCCTTGGTATTCTGTAAAAATACAATACAAAATTCCTAAATAAATAAATATATTTACATCTCCATTGAACTGTTTGATAGAGAAAGTAACTTGTCTCAAAAATTTCAATGAAGATAGATTCAAAAAATCTTAAGATGTATAACTCGTAAGCCAGGATATCTAAAGTTCACATATAAATAATTACCAAGGTTAATTTAATGTTTCTATAAGTAAATTACACAGTCATTTATTAGCTAGTAATTTAAGCATGATATTTACCTTAGTGTAGATTTGTGAGACTAGACGAAACCATTCTTTTTTACGCGCAATTCTGTAAACCTTAGGTCAAGCATATCGAAGCAACATCTTTTATACTACAATTTAATTCAATCCAAATAACCCACTTTCCAATTAATTATCAATGATCTGATTGGCTCATCTGACAAAGTTAGCTGAGAAATAGTCAAATTTCTCGAATAAAGTGAGGTTTGAGTTAGGTAGTGATAATAAATAGCAACTCAAGGAAATATACAGGTAGAATTTTGGTTGGTTAAGGTAGCGAAATCACTACCTCGCAATGCTAATTATGAACCCTGGACATGCAAAAATGCAAAAGATTATTTGTTTACAGACTTAAATGAACCTAGGTATATAATAAATGCTTATGAATTCTAAATATCCTGAATAAGTTCCTGCATTTTAACATCACTGACACACAGAGTCTGGATTTTTAGAAAAAAGGAGCATGACTTCTTTAAATTTTCTTCAAAATTCCAAATCAAAATGTAAAATATTGTGAAACTAAATACATGTATATCGCCCACTGGCCAAAGGTGTAGCCAGGGTCGAAAATTAGGTGAGGTAAATTTTAAAGGGCGGGCAAAATTGAACCAGAGAAAAATATGCTTCCCTTGTCATTTTCATTTTCAGTTTAAGTAAAGCTAGAAAACAGCAGCTCTATGGAGTAGCCCATCCCTATCCAAGCAACAAAATACTGTACTCCCACTAATATTTGACGCTATTATATTTCATGTTTTTGGCATTTTGAAATTTTGCGGCTATTATATTTCGCTAATTTTCATTTTTTTGAAATTTCGCGCCTATCAATTTCATGGATTTGTCATAAAAGATCGCTCTTTCAACTTCAATATCAACCATCAGCACTGGACGAAAATATTGTCAACATTGAAATTCCCGGGAATTTCTTGGGAATTTCGCGACTACCAAATATCGCGAATTAGTACTGTAGGAACTTTGGGGTTATTATATTGCGCGAATTTTCCAAAACTCGCAAAAAGCGCGAAATATAGTAGTGCGCAAAAATAACTGGGAATACAGTATTCATGAAGCTGTGTTAAATCTCACAATAAAATATTTATCATCTACTCTAACCTTGATCTCCAGATAATAATAAAAGACAGATAATAGAGATTTATCAGAATTAACACCAATACAAGTATATTGTGTGACCATTTAGGAGTGTAACAACACTGGACTATAAGATGCTACTAAAGCTCAGCTGTGGCGGCTCGCCCTTTTGGCTCAGTGGTAGAGTATTAGACATTAACTTGCTTTAGGCAGTCATTTTAAATTTTCTGAGGCTAGGCAAATATCAGAAAACAATGACCATTTGATTATTTATATTAAGACATTTGGTTTGGCATTGGTCTTATATCTTGACATTTGGTATGGCAATTGGTCCTGTATTTGGACATTGTGATAATTGACTGTTTGGCTTTATTTTGGTTGGTATGGGAATACATTGAAATTTGACAGATTGGTATGGGAATATATTGATATCTGAGGGTTCAGCCTAGGACCTCCGCCAAAATGTGTATACATTGAGCCCTCCGGGAATACAGGCATGCATCAAAAACATCTCAAAATTAACAAAAAGTCCTAAACTAACAGCCCCCCTACACAGACCCGGGGGAGGGGGGTTATACCAAAAACACAGAATACACAGTGATCTCCCCAGGATTTTTTCTTGGTAGGGTGCAAAATTCGCATTTACACAATTCAGACCAAAATTGGTCAAAATATGCCAATTTTCCATGATTTTTCTCATTTTCAAGTGGGTAAGCCTGTTTACAAAATCTCAGGTGGGTGCTGCACCCACTTGCTTTAATGCTGGGGAGATCAGTGATACATGTCAAATAGATACATTTTAAGAATACCTATCAACCAAATAGTAATACACCCTAATTTTATTTTATTTAAATAGCTATACATAAATTTGGTTAGAAATTAAAAACTAAAAACTTAGATTTTCGCGAAAAACAGTAGCCGTTTTGAATTTCTTTTTGAAAAATATACTGACATACAGACTACAGGGGATTTCCAACATCCCAACCATCAAACTTTGTTTTTTTGAAAAATATGAGACTACAGAGGATTTCCAATATCCCAACCACCAAACTTTGTTTGTTGGGATAATGATACAGCGACATATCCAGGAAGAAAAAGTGACAAGGTGAAAAATATCGAAAACAGCGGCTATTTAACTCAGTCAGAAATAAGAACCTAAAGTTAGGTAGAACTCGATTAAAACAAAAACCTTGTTCGATGATGGCAATCAAAGAACACAATGACAACCCATGAGATTACGTACAATGTACAATAAAAGAATTGATGACAACTACATTGATAGAGGATAATTTCTCAAAGTATGGTAATAGCAATGAGGGAAGCGCCTCATCTGCCTCATCCTGGCTATTAAAGCAAGAGAATAATAATGAAGTGAAAAACATATACAGTGTCCTCCCCAGGATTTTTCTCCATTGGGTGCGAAATTCTTATTTTCATCATTTTAACCAAATCTGGTCAAAATACGCCTAATTTCATGATTTTTATCAAATCAAGTGGATGCAAATGGATTCACAGGTAGGTGCAAGTATATCATTAAAATTCAAATTGGAAGCACTCACTTGCTTTAATCCTGAGGAGATCACTGAGGATAAGTTAAAGTATAAATTTCTTACCTTGTTTTATAGAAGCCATTTGTTCTGCTTGAGTTTTATTCAAACTAATGTTCGGTTCACTTTCTTCTAATGCATATTCTATACCCTCAACATGCTTGTGTTTGACATTGTCATTTATGGTAGGATCTAATGCATTTCTAGCACTATGATGGTTATAATATGTCCCAGAGTCATTAAGATCTGTATCACCTGTAAGATCTTCTTCTATTATCTCTGGTTCTTCTATTTTTATTGTCTTTTGTGTGTGTGTGTCATGGTCTGGTGAATATTGTTTTCGTTTTCGGTCATTGCTCTGTGGAGATTGCACTGTTCTACCTGTAATAGAAAATATACATGTACTATTTATTTCATAATTATATAATAATATACACTATAAAAACAAGCCGCTGGACATCCTAGTGGGTATATGTTGCGGTTTAACAGAAATTCTTAAAATAACATCTAGACTACAAATAAAAGAAAGCACTTATGTTCCATGTAGGTAGCATCCTGTGACTAGTATTGTGTAAAGACTACTGCGATTTAAGTCTATGTTTGACATGTTTTTTGTTTTGTATGTAACCCAGAACTCATTCCATATGTGGTCTACATCTTTCAGTTTTACATAGAGTACACAAATATATCAAATATATCTAGATTATTTATTGAGGGTAAATAATTTTCTACTATAATATGAAAATTTAAAAATGGAGTGACCTTTTTAATACAAAAGACTAATTTATCTCCTTTGAATATGTCTAGAAATTTACTTAAACTGAAAAAAAATTTACTTCAAATTAACCCTCAACTGACAATATATTGAGCAATGTACAATGTAAATGAAAACTTTCCATTAAGTCCACCTATTAAGTCCAAACTGTAAGAGGCCACACAATTTATTATTTTATTTAGCCAAACCAGAAGCAATTCAAGAGATATGAATGTCATTCGTGTGTAACAATTGAATACTGTACTCCCACTAATATCTGACGCTATAATATTTTGCGTTTTTGGCATTTTGCTGCTATTTATTTTCGCGTATTTGTCATACAATATCACTCTTTTGACTTCGACATCAGCCATGGTTATTCCTTCGCCTGATGATTTTGGCTTCTAATAAGCCATTTCGTTAGAATGTTCATTTTAATACCATAATGACAATCTTTCATCTAATTTCTCTTTTTCGAAACTCGAAATGTAGCATTTTTACCTATTATCGCCTATAGCACTGGACAAGTCAACATTGAAATCCCTGGGAATTTATATTTTGTGAATTAGAACTGTTGGAATTCCACGGCTATTATATTTCGCAAACTTTCCAAATCTTGCGAAAAATGCGAAATATAGTAGCGCACGAAAAATTATTGGGAGTACAGTATATTTCACCATATATTACTGAACAATGGTCTTTTGATTCCTTTTTTAGGTAAAATGAGTCAATAAAACAGTGACTCAGAAATAGACTAAATCCTGGAAGGTACACTGTAAGTCACATTCATTAGCAAAATCTTTTTAATATGCAGGAAAAACCCTTGCAAAAAAACAACAAGCTTACGTGTACTGGCATCTGGTGGACTTGTAAATTGAGTATTATATTGCACTGAGGAGGATGCATTGGAACATGGATTTGTCGTACATCTAGGATCATGGTGTACATCATCGCGAGCCTCTCTTATGGTTTGATTTTTTTTGCTTGGTCGTATTATAGTCCTGTGTATTTTAACAACAACATCCTCTTGTTGATCATCTATTGCTACACATATGATGCCATCTATTTCCAGAGAGTTGGAAAATTCTGACTCTTCATTACAGACTTTCAGAACTGCGTCTTGGATGACCTTTTTCAGATACTGTCCATTAATACCCATGATTTTAGAACAACAGGTATCGTGTATCAGTTTAGTTTAGTTCAGTTTAGTTTTGTTTATTTCAATGAATCGAGGGAGCGAAACTTTATTTTCAATTAATCTAGAGCACCTTTTATTTTGAAGAGTTACCGCAAACACATTCCGTTTTATAGTTATAAAGCACTTGTTTTCAGAATAATATCTGATAATATCTTCATTAAACTAAATAAAATTGGTTGTTTGCTAAATCATTATAAAGTTTATTTAGTTTGGCATATTTTCTATTTAATTTTTGCAATAAGACAATTCTGAAATATAGGAATGTGCGTTATAACTCTTCAAATGTAGAGGTAAACTTTCTCTTGACTCAAGAAATATGAAAAACTGGTCGAAAGAAATTCGTTAAGTACCATTAGGCCTAATTTGACGTGCTGTTAGCATATATCGGTAAGTTGAGTATCAATTTATCTTTGTGTTCTGGTTTGTTATATATGGAGAGGTAGCAAATCACAAGGAAATAAACAAATTTAAAATATTGTCAGACAAGACAGGTCTGAACTCAAAAACTCATTTTAGCCCTTTTAAAGACTTTTTATGAAGGCCCGTCACAGGCCGTGCAACTGTCCCGCAATTTGCGTATTTGTCACACATTTGCTGGAAAATTTGAAGTCACGCCATTTTATTTTGTGTGACAGAATATGTCATGCAAATACGCATTTTACCTGATTATTGTCAAGCAAAAATATTTCTGTTAAAAACTTCAAAAAAGTGATCGCCGATACAGCAGAGTCTATATCCAATAGATTGAATTTCCTGACAAAAGCGAACGCCGAAAAACGAACGCATTTCATCCGGACTTTTCACTCGGATACCGTCTATCTCACACATTTTTCTCGAAATGTTTCATACCTGGCGGAGCTCTTAGTATAATAGATCGGGTTTCCACCATTTCTAGTTCTTTAAACCTCACTTTTATTGAAAGCCCATGCTATCAAGTCGTCATATGCTGAGATTAAGATTCGAAGTATTATGATCAGATGTATTACATCAACTGTGCAGCAACTAAGAAATTCTCCATCTAAAATGTCACTCGAGATTTATTATTCTAATTTATTCCACTTACCTTTTATTGTTTCTCCAAATATATTCTTTGAAAATCGGATTTTAAGGGTGTTAATCAGGGTAATTCTGTGCCATTTTATCAAAAATCTTGTTGCTATCTAGAAACGAGCAATTGTGATCTTGTTGTTACCTACAGGCCTGTCAACTGTCCCGCAATTTGCGTATTTGTCACGCATTTGCTGAAGAATTTGAAGTCACGCCAGTTATTTATGCGTGACAGAAAATGTCACGCAAATACGCATTTTACCTGGTAATTGTCACGCAAAAATATTTCTGTAGAAAGATTTCTAAAAAAGATCGTCTACACAGCAAAAATACGAACGCCGCAAAAAAATGTACGCATTTCGTTCGTACTTTTCACGCGAATTACGTATATGTCACACATTCCGTTTGAAATTTTTCGTACCTACCCCCCCCCCCCCCCCCCCCCCCCCCCCGTTGACGGATGTTCGAAATGCGAGCGTAGCGAGCGCGAAAAATTTGAGGTGTTCAAAATTTGGCAAGATGTAATAATAATAATAAACCAAGGTGTTCAAAATTTGGATCAAGGTGTCCAGATTTGGACCAAGGTGTCCACATTTTGAGGGGAGGTGTTCAACATTTCCAAGTCACTCATGTTAGGTGTTCCCAAGTTGACAGGCCTGTACCTAGGAACGAGCAACTGTGATGTCACGTCACACTCATGTTATTTCTGGAATCACATGGCAGCCATTTTGGAAATTTCAAAAAAGTTCCCAATTAAAAAAGCTAAATGCTGTTTACAAATTGGAAACTATGGCAGAATCAACAAAGGGTTTGTGAAATAATTAGGATATGGTTTCAAAATTATGCACATGACAATATATGACTACTAAATGCAGGCAGGGACTTTTAATTGCCAAAAAGTCGAGTGACATTTTAGATGGAGAAAAATTTAGATAGTTTTTTTTTTTAGTTAGTTATGTAATGACCTTCGATAGCAAGTCGCTACTACAGTCTCAGCTGTAGTGGCTAGCCTTTATGGCTCAGGGGTAGAGCGTCTGACTCAAGAGCGGGAGGTCCTGGGTTCAATTCCCGTACGGCGCATTGAATTTAGCACATTCTCTCTCGAGTCTAGCATCTGGCTCGGTACACTACAGCTCCCCGACAAGCGTGCCCAAGGGTCATTTCAGTTACATACTTTATTCTCAAACTATGATACATAAATTATCCATCAACTGACACTTTAACAAGTGTATGAAGTTGTTTTAGTGACTAAAATGAGAATTCAATAATAACTATACATATTGATAGCATGTATGCATCTAACTTATGGCTAGTGGTGGTGGGTTGTGGCTGCCAATGTGTGTTAACTCTATTTCGGTTTAGGAAAAATAAAATATATATAATAAATATAAAGATGAACAAATACTTTAAACGTCACATGTCAACGAACAAACATTCAATGTCATCCAAGAAGCAATAGTTTGTCACTTGTATCTCCCAGAATTTCTTTAACAACAAAACAAGAATTTAGTTTTGTTCATTGTCTTTCTCTGTGAACAGTGGAGCAGTTTTCTCCACATATCATAAGGCCTTTGAATTAATTGCTCGTATTTTTCTTGTATTAACGTTTGTCTGTACTCGAGATCTGTGTAAATATTGTGTTGCTTTGATTTGTCTATTAAAAAAATTTTTTAGGAACTAATCTATGCCATACCTTATTCAAAATAAACAGATTTTCACAACTTGATCGTGAAAACATTTTGATGCATATTTCTGGGCTCTTCAGATAACATCATTTTATGTCAACACCAGAAATGGTTACATCTTGTTTAAATTAAATTTTTTGAGGTCGTTGTTTTGCATCTGTAACAAATGGCAGGTGATGACAATTTGCATTTTAATGCCTTGTGTTAATATTGAAATAACAATCAACTGAAATTGTATATTATCATAATTCTTGTAATAAGTGTTTAATGTAATAACTAGACAAGTCAGAACTACAAACTACGTTTGAAAGTGGCTAAAATAAACAGCTTCCATTTTTAAAAAGAAAAAACTATTCCAGAGGATCTATAAAATACAAACCCATTTTCAAGATATTTAGTTTTTTAATTATTTTACTTTCAGGAGTGGCAAATAACATTTGACAGCATAGCTTGTATAGCTGATGATTGAACACACAGAATGCAAATTAAGAAAAGCATGGATGCCATGTTATTATGGTGTCTATGCTTGTAGAAATGATGTAAGGGGACAAAACTGACAAAAGTGTAGAGTACTTCAGGTGTGTATGTCATTACAGTGACTGACTCAAACGAAAAACTATGGCAACATGTGAAAATGTTCCCTCTGTACCATCTGAAACTGTGGAAATGTTTGATGATGAGTGCATGATGTTCAAAGAAGAACCCATCGATGCTGTTTATAGCAATGAGGCCACCATTGAAGTTCATTTTAAGGAAGACACAGAGGTTGATGATGATATGTTAGCAGATCCTGGATTTGAAATTGATGATGTTGAAATCAAACAGGAAAATGGCGATGATATTGAATACGAGGATATTGATATAAAACCGGAATATATTGATGAAAATGAATATGGACATGTCAATGGTGATGAAGAATTATCAGAGTCAAATGATGGTGATAATGATGATGATGAAACTAATGATTTTGAACACAGCGATACTGGTATAAATGACCTTGACCTTGACTATGCTAAGAATAGGACCGTTCTGAAAAAGCATAAATGTTCATATTGTGAGAAAACATTCCCAAAAAGGAGTAGTGTGGTTCAGCATGAAAGGACGCATACAGGAGAGAGGCCATTCCAATGTGAACAGTGTAATATGTACTTTAGAACAATGTGTGCTTTGAAAATTCATACAAGAATCCACACTGGAGAAAAACCGTTTAAGTGTAAATTTTGTGATAAAGTGTTTGCTCAGCAGGGAAGCATGGTATCTCATGAGAGAACCCATACTGGTGAGAAAAGTTACCAGTGTCAGTATTGTGAAAAAACATTTGCTCGAAGTAGTAATGTGAGAGAGCATGAAAAAAGACATACTGGTATAAAACCACATAAATGTGAACATTGTGATAAAAGTTTTGTCCAAGCCTGTGATCTGACAAAACACCTAAGAGTACACACTGGAGAGAAACCATACAAATGTTCATTTTGTGATAAGTGTTTCTCTGTGAATTTCGCAAAAAGACAACATGAACTTACACACCAACCTGATAGAAAAAAAGAATTCAAGTGTGAAGCATGTGATAAATATTTTGCCAGATCTGAAAATTTGAAGAAACACCTAAGAACACATACTGGAGAAAAGCCATATCAGTGTGATGTGTGTGACAAATTTTTTGTTGCAGCTAGTGGTCTAAGAGTGCATAAAAAATTACATACTGGCAAAAGACCTTTCAAGTGTGAATACTGCGAAAAATGTTTTACAGAGAGTGGTGCAAGAAAATCACATGAAAGGATCCACACTGGAGAAAAGCCGCATCATTGTAATTACTGTGACAGAACCTTTGCTCACCTTAACAATATGAAAGAACATCAAAGAGTCCATACTGGAGAGAAACCTCATAAATGCAATTTCTGTGATAAACACTTTGCTCGCTTAAGTGGTTTAAGAACCCACGAACGATTACATTTTGGTGATAAACGTTACAAATGCCAGTACTGTGATAAAGATTTCATCGCATCATATAAGTTAAAGTTACATTTAAGAGTTCATACAGGTGAAAAACCATTTAAATGTCAGTATTGTGAAAGTTGTTTCTCCAATTCAAGCTCAAGGAATATACATCAACGTATCCATACTGGAGAAAAGCCTTATA